TTTCATAAATATGATGTTGCTGTCTGTATTAAGGCCAATTTTGGAAATCATATTCATTCATCCGTCCGTGGCACCCGTGAAGAGCCACCTCCTCGTAGTGGGTGCTGGGTAACGCTAAGAGCTCTTCAACCCCCCGTGAGGACCCGGGGGAATATTTGGTCCACAGCACCTCATTGCTGGTCGTAAGACCGAATTGGGCAACCCGTTTGCCGTGGGTTGCACCCCTGGGGAGTAATTATTTATGATTATTCTGCTGTGGCCGTATGCATATGTCGGGCGTAAATTCTAGTCCGGGCGTAAGTAAAATGTGCGCCCGGACGTAACGTTAGACCGGTATGCACATATTAAACGTAGTTAAAGTTACGCCAGCCGTAGCGCTCTATATTTACGCCACCTACCCAGCAGGCGTAAGCCAGGCGTAGCCCTGTAATGGCGGCACTGGATGCCGAAGTTTTTTTCAGGCGCACATTTTCAAAAGGTTTGAAAAGTGAACGTTGTGCGAGGATTGCACTGTTGTGGTCCTGGATCTGCGTATGGCTATAAAATTACACAAAATGTAGAATATTTAATTACCTATCCGTTGGTATAAATATAAGTGCGGCTTGAGAAATATACACTGCTAAATGTTGTCCAAAATTTGTTACGCGTTAAAAAACTGTCAATTTATCCGCTTTTTATCGCGCACCGATAAGTGCACTCTGCTACGAATCTTTTAATGTGGCATCTTTACAGAAAGTGTGAGAGAAGAAAATACAGCCTGATATCTGAACGACATAAGTGTATATGAAATGGGTTTATGTGCTAATGCTTAACGTTACACGCTCAACATTAAAAATGACTCGCGATAAGTGCCAATAATGGATTTACTTCTGTGGCGTCAACCGACGACAGAGAGGTCATACACGTATAAATATACCGGGGCATAACTCTGCTATGCTTAACACTAGGTCAATGTTACTCAGATCACTTCAAGGTGAACCAAACTATTCCAATTCAAAGTTCAACAATGTGAGCGGATACGTTTTGGTAGTTTCACAATTTATAAGAAAAGATGGCAATGTACTACTTGAGAAAGCAGGTAATAGCGATTTGGATGACCCTATCCGATATATAAGTTAGTTCTTAGATTCCCATGTTCTCCTGTTTGTGTAGATGTAATTTGACTAATTTTGCATCACTATTAACGCAGTACTAGCCATATCTTCAAATGTAATGAAATTACTGATAATAATACAACATTTTAGTTGACGTCATGGCTTATTTTATGCATTTTGCGACTTCGGAAAAAGACGACATTGGTTTGCTGATTAGTATATATCTCACCTAATTTCTATTTATTGTATAAAAGGTCTCGGCTTCTATGTCAGAATTTAACACTCTTTAGAGAAAACATAAAATGAATGATTTTACCAATTAAATAGTGTCCCGAATATATCAACAATTAGACGGTTTGACGGTTTGACTGAATACTTATTTTGCAGTTATGGCTACGTGTGATCTTCTAATACTTGTGTAAAGGTTTAAAATATGGTGTACTACACTAAATGTGTCAATTTCTTATTTTTTTTTCATTATTATTATTATAGGATATTTATATAGCGCACATATCCACGCAACTAGTGCTTGCTCAAGGCGCTGGTATTTTTTTCCCTCGATCATTGGATGTCAATCTCAACGGCACATCTTATTATCAATCTCAACTCCCTGTGGAGTATACAACTCTTGCAGCCACTAGGCGCACCAAGTTATTGTGGCTTACTCATGCTAACGAGGTACATATTTCTTATGTAAATATTATTCAAACAATCAAAAACTTTCAAAGAATAAAAAACGCCTACCCTATATCCACGTATAATATGGTATTGAACATGGCTAAATGTATTTTCTGAAATTAGTTTGATGAAAAATTATCTGAACGATACGCAAAATATACATCATAATACTGACAGTGTAATCGGAAGGATAGGGCGATTGTGTTTACTCTTGTTCAATCGGACTTCACCTCAAAGAAATGGCATAATATGTACAACAATGTTGACGTATGACATCAGTACTGCCGACCGATTTCTTACAAAATGGCGGCCTTGCTGACAAGGATACACAGGATTTTGCGAGGACCCTTCCCTTGATTCTGGGATCGTTTGTACATAAATATGAGATGTAAGTAATCAGAATGATTTTGACTATCTGTGTATTGTTGTATGTTTTATCGTTTTCATTGTAAGTAAGAGAAGAAACCAGAAATGCTGATAATTACCTTTGTCGTTCTGCGTGAATTTGCGTCAGTCATGACGTCACGCTGCACGGAAACTTTGACACTCTCTTATGAAATATCAAATCATTGCATTGTATCTGTTTCCCATTTCTTGCTACGTACGATACTCTTTCTAGGCATATTCTAAAGATATTGAGCCATTGCAAGCAATGAATAGACGGCTGGATGTCGGAAAATTTCAGAAAATGCTAGTACGTAGTGTAAAATCGGATTTTTTTTGTTTACATTTCAAACAGTTCATGGAAAGAGTATCGTAGCAAGAAATAGGAAATTATAAATAGATACAATGCAATGATTTGATAATTCATAAGAAATTGTCAAAGTTTCCGTGCAGCGTGACGTCATGACTGACGCAAAATCACGCAGAACGACAACGGTAATTATCTGCATTTCCTGTGTACGCTTGTCAGCAAAGCCGCCATTTTGTGAGAAATCGGTCAGCGGTAGTGATGTCATACGTCAACATTGTTCAACATATTATGCAATTTATTTGAGGTGAAGGTCGGTTGAACAAGGGTAAACACAATCGCCCAATCCTTCCGATTACACTGTCAGTATTACAGTGTATATTTTGCGTATAGTTCAGATACTTTTTCATGAAACTGACTTCAGTATCTACATTTAGCCTTGTTCAATATCATATCATACGTGCATATAGGGTTTACGGTGTTTTATTCTTTGAAAGTTTTTGATTGTTTGAATCATATTTACATAAGAAATTGACACAGTTAGTGCAATACACCATATTCTAAACCTTTACACAAGTGTTAGAAGATCAAACGTAGCCATAACTGCAACTACTTTAGTTCCTATGATGTACAATATTCAATTTATTTGGACTAATATTGCAATTTCATATGAACAGGTAAATGAACGGTGATTTAATTCAACCTTATATGTAAAACTGATAATATTAATGAAAATGATTTATATATGGTATGAAATGTATATGCACACATATTTAAAGGAATTGTCTTGTTCACTGCATAATTTGTGTCGTTTTATAGACAAAAGAATGATGCATACTGATCGGTCAGGTGCGCGTTTGTTGGAAACGTTTTATGATTCTCTATCATTGTTTTCGATAATATAATCAATTCATATTCGACTAAATAATATTGTGATGACAGGATATCAAACTCTAACTACATTCATAGGAAAATTGTTGAAAAATATATATACCATCTCATGTGTTAATTCGGACAAATCTTACATCCATATTCTAATATATAGTTCCACATATAAAAAGCTATCTTTTTGCATCTTTCATTGCATACGTATGAAGAGAAATAGCTACATAATCATAAACAAACAAAATTCTTATCCCAAATAAAATATTCGGGTGTTGTGAAATATTATTTTTATTTACGTTAAAGTGATGCCAAACAGGTGCGCGTGTTGTTCAAAATAAGATACGCTGTCAAACTGTCTAATTGTTGATATATTCAGGACACTATTTAAATGGAAAAATCAGTCATTTTATGTTTTGTCTAAAGAGTGTTAAATTCTGACGTAGAAGCCGAGACCTTTTAAACAATTAATGGAAATTAGGTGAGATATATACTAATCAGCATACCAATGTCGTCTTTTTCCGACGTCGCAAAATGCATAAAACAAGCAATGACGTCAACTAAAATGTTGTATTATTTTCAGCAATTTCATTACATTTGAAGATATGGCTTGTAGTAATTCTGGTAGTCAAATTACAATAACTTATATATCGGATAGGGCCATCCAAATCGCTATTACGTGCTTTCACATGTAATACGTTGTCATTTTTCTTGTAAATTATGATGCAAGTTTGGTTTGAGTCAAATTACATAACGGAGTTATGCCCCTTATCATTATACGTGTATGATCGGATAAATTGACAGTTTTTAACGCATAACAAACTTTGGACAACATTTAGCTGTGTCTATTTCTCAAACCGCCGAGGTAGTTGCACTTTATACCAACAGATAGGAAATTTAATATTCTACATTTCTGTGTAATTTTATAGCCGTACGTAGATCCAGGACCACGCGAGCGCAATTCTCGCACAACGTTCACTTTTCAAACCTTTTGAAAATGTGCGCCAGAAAAAAAACTCGACATCAAGGGGGTTAGTCTGTGTGTTACGCCTGACGTTAGCTACGCCCAACATGTGCATACGGCCACAGAAAAGTCCTCAAAAAGAACAACTGCACCAGTAATGACTTCGTCAAGCATGGGTGAATACAGATATTCCCCAGTTCATTCGACCACTCACATACACAAACAGGAGAATATGGGCATATGAGTTACATTGACTCTACATGATTTTTCAGTGTTAGCCGTAGCAAAACGCATAACGGAGTTATGCCCCTTATCATTATACGTGTATGACCTCTTTGTCGTCGTTTGACGTCATAGAAGAAAATCCATTTTGACATTTATTGCGAGTCATTGTTAATGTTGAGCGTATAACGTTATGCACAAGCACATAAACCCAATTCAGATACACTTATGTCGTTCAGCATCAAGATAATTTTTATTTTTATGAGGTCCCTTCAGCGCTTCCATTACTCACATATAGTATTTATTTTCCTTTTATTTCATTTCCAATTCGCGGGGGCGGGATCGTCAGGTCATCAGGTGAATATTTGATCAATACAGTCCAAAGACCAATCCCACGTAGCCTACTGTTTACAACTTCTGTTACAACCCTGTGCAAAGTTCAGGGGCGGATAACTCGCATTGCTGAACATCCAACATGGCCACTGTCAACACTTGGGTAGCGAGGGTGGCTGATTTTTTGTTGGGGAAAGTCCCCTTCATTAATGCTCTTTCATTTCTTATGCTTCTTGCTGAAAGAGCAAAAAGTGAAAGGTATTACCAATGTTAACTATTGTGTCACATGCATAATGCAACTGTGATTATTGTTCTGTACTACGTCAACACAGACATACCGGTACTCTGTAGTAATGTACTGCATTAGGGAAATTACACGCCATTTATCATAGGATCAAATCATTCATCACTCTAGATCAAAAACACTCCGTTGAGGTTTTAATATTGGATTCCCCTTTAGATAAAATCTCTTATCCCAGAAAGAATGAAAATAAACATGTATATTTTTTTAATTTTATCAGTACCGTATTGGTCATACGTGAGTCATCATTAGTGAAATTTCCATAGACTTACATGTTAATCAACTGTTGCAAGCATAATTTTCATAAAATGAGTCGAAGTCATTTTGTTATAATATTTTGCAAACATCTTGGAAATCATCTTCAGCTACGTATACATAATTTTCTGTCATCTTTCTGTTGATTAGTTATCGAATGACATCTGGTTAAGGACCAAGTATTTTAACTTTTAATCTATCCCATAGACAGTCATGTTAAACCTGATTGGTATGTCTGATATGTCTTGTTTAAATAGTTGCAGTTTTCTTAATAAAATTTTCATCAGAAAATTGAATGGAAATTATGTGTATGTAGCAGAGATGATTTCCCAGCTGGTAGATAAGTATTGAAACCAATTTGACCGAAACTAAATTTATGAAAACTATTCTTGCAAGAGTTAATTAACAAATTAATTGCAAGTCTATGGGAATTTCACTAATGATGACTCACTTATGGCAAACTACTGTATATCAATATCAGTGTATGAAATACGCCAAAACCGCAGCCAGACCTCAGGGCTGGTAACTTCAAAATATTACCAGCCCAAAATGGATTTAACCAGACCAAATATGGTGATTTACTCATATGTATGGAACATCTAAAACTTTTACCAGACCATCGGGCTGGTTAGCTGTAAATTTAGACCATCCGTCAGAAATCTAGACTGTCTCGGGCGGTCGGACGGGCCTTATTTCATACACTGTCAATATAGTCTGATTCAATGGAGGCCGAAAATGCCACAGTATTCACCAACAGGGGTGTTAAAATTGCATCATGTGGGTGTGTAGGATGGATGAGGGTTTTTTAATATTACGTTTTGACACATTTGGTAAATATAAAGCTTACACAGTGTCCAGAAAGAATATGCACAGTGTTTACAATCTTGGGAGTGCAAATAGTGACATGAAATCATGTCATTTATATATTTGCTACCTAATCTGCATATGTGTAAATATTTCTTTAATATAATGATCTGACACTTTGTTATGAAACTTTTCCACAATATTATTTATGAATTCTTAAAATTATTGTGATAATTATATCTCATTGAGCATTGTGGGAGAAACTAAATATGTTTCTAACTCAACTTAAATAAAGCATTTCATCACTCAGTACTCCATAAATATGTCTATGTGAGCTTTCTGCATTTGATGACAGTGAAATGTTTGGCAAGGGGTATTATTTGAAATATTTCTTAGAAAGATATGTGAAGCTGAGACCATATATGATCCAATCTAGAGCACCTGTTGTGAATTGTGAGAGAAAATGCAAACTTGTATATTTCATCAATCAAATAATCACCTCTCTCATCCTGATGCCATCCATGTTTGGTTACACAAACTCACCTGAACTTTATCTTGTCTTTTAGTATTTCCATGCTGACTGCCGTATCAAATAAGTCTATAATATTGTTAGTTTCCTACCTGTTCTAAACATCCATGATTACAGAGTGTATTGTACCAATTGTGTATCAGGATGTGTACTCTCAGTGCTTCCCCACTTAATTGTCTGGCCCAAGACTGCCACCATATAGCTGGAATATTGCTGAGTGTTGCGTTAAACAATAAACCAACCCACCAACCAACCAAACAACATTTTGTGAAAAGTTAGTGATGGAGGAGATGAGACAAATCTATGGTGGTGAATAGCTAAGGATGTTTATAGTTAGAAAAAGAGATCAGATAAAATTAAATTTTGAAAAACTTTCTCCTCTTGTTTCAGTGTGCCCCCGTTACCCCCTCAGCTGATCTACGCTCATATGGGAGTGTTCCTCATCTGTGGTTTCCTCATGTCCGCCCACATGGCGAAGAAGGAGGCATCATTGGTGTATGCAGGCCAGCTCATATTCTTTTCCTACAACTTCTACACCAACAAGAAGCTCAACTACGGCCAGTGGCAGAGAGTAAGACTTCTTGGTTCCTTGTTGCAGACATTGTTAAGAGTTATTTTCCATAAAAATCTATATCGCTCTAACCAGAACATCATCGACTTGGCAATCAGTACTGAAGTTTATATAAAACAATACTAGTGCAGAACTCTAGCTCTGTCAATGTAAACACACAGGGACAACACCAGTAGCTTAACTCTTGCTCTGTCAACACCAGTAGCTTAACCCTTGCTCTGTCAACACCAGTAGCTTAACCCTTGATCTGTCAACACCAGTAGCTTCCCTTGATCTGTCAACACCACTAGCCTAACCCTTGCTCTGTCAACACCAGTAGCTTAACCCTTGCTCTGTCAACAGCAGTAGCTAAACTCTTGCTCTGTCAACACCAGTAGCTTAACCCTTGCTCTGTCAACACCAGTAGCTAAACTCTTGCCCTGTCAACAGCAGTACCTTAACTCTTGCTCTGTCAACACCAGTAGCTTAACTCTTGCTCTGTCAACACCAGTAGCTTAACTCTTGCTCTGTCAACAGCAGTAGCTAAACTCTTGCTCTGTCAACACCAGTAGCTTAACCCTTGCTCTGTCAACACCAGTAGCTAAACTCTTGCCCTGTCAACAGCAGTAGCTTAACCCTTGCTCTGTCAACAGCAGTAGCTAAACTCTTGCTCTGTCAACACCAGTAGCTTAACCCTTGCTCTGTCAACAGCAGTAGCTTAACCCTTGCTCTGTCAACACCAGTAGCTTAACCCTTGCTCTGTCAACAGCAGTGGCTAAACCCTTGCTCTGTCAACACCAGTAGCTTAACTCTTGCTCTGTCAGCACCAGTAACTAAACTCTTGCTCTGTCAACACCAGTAGCTTAACTCTTGCTCTGTCAACACCAGTAGCTAAACTCTTGCTCTGTCAACACCAGTAGCTTAACTCTTGCTCTGTCAACACCAGTAGCTTAACTCTTGCTCTGTCAACACCAGTAGCTAAACTCTTGCTCTGTCAACAGCAGTAGCTTAACTCTTGCTCTGTCAACACCAGTAGCTAAACTCTTGTTCTGTCAACACCAGTAGCTAAACTCTTGCTCTGTCAACACCAGTAGCTTAACTCTTGCTCTGTCAACACCAGTAGCTAAACTCTTGCTCTGACAACACCAGTAGCTTTACCCTTGCTATGTCAACACCAGTAGCTTAACTCTTGCTCTGTCAACACCAGTAGCTAAACTTTTGCTCTGTCAACACCAGTAGCTTAACCCTTGCTCTGTCAACACCAGTAGCTTAACATCTTGTTCTGTCAACACCAGTAGCTAAACTCTTGCTCTGTCAACACCAGTAGCTTAACTCTTGCTCTGTCAACACCAGTAGCTTAACCCTTGCTCTGTCAACACCAGTAGCTTTACCCTTGCTTTGTCAACACCAGTAGCTAAACTCTTGCTCTGTCAACACCAGTAGCTAAACTCTTGCTCTGTCAACACCAGTAGCTTAACCCTTGCTCTGTCAACACCAGTAGCTTAACTCTTGCTCTGTCAACACCAGTTGCTAAACTCTTGCTCTGTCAACACCAGTAGCTAAACACCTTGCTCTGTCAACACCAGTAGCTAAACATCTTGCTCTGTCAACACCAGTAGCTTAACCCTTGCTCTGTCAACACCAGTTGCTAAACTCTTGCTCTGTCAACACCAGTAGCTAAACATCTTGCTCTGTCAACACCAGTAGCTTAACCCTTGCTCTGTCAACACCAGTAGCTAAACATCTTGCTCTGTCAACACCAGTAGCTAAACATCTTGCTCTGTCAACACCAGTAGCTAAACTCTTGCCCTGTCAACAGCAGTACCTTAACTCTTGCTCTGTCAACACCAGTAGCTTAACTCTTGCTCTGTCAACACCAGTAGCTTAACCCTTGCTCTGTCAACAGCAGTAGCTAAACTCTTGCTCTGTCAACACCAGTAGCTTAACCCTTGCTCTGTCAACACCAGTAGCTAAACTCTTGCCCTGTCAACAGCAGTAGCTTAACTCTTGCTCTGTCAACAGCAGTAGCTAAACTCTTGCTCTGTCAACACCAGTAGCTTAACCCTTGCTCTGTCAACACCAGTAGCTTAACCCTTGCTCTGTCAACACCAGTAGCTTAACCCTTGCTCTGTCAACAGCAGTGGCTAAACTCTTGCTCTGTCAACACCAGTAGCTTAACTCTTGCTCTGTCAACAGCAGTAGCTAAACTCTTGCTCTGTCAACACCAGTAGCTTAACCCTTGCTCTGTCAACACCAGTAGCTTAACTCTTGCTCTGTCAACACCAGTAGCTTAACATCTTGCTCTGTCAACACCAGTAGCTAAACATCTTGCTCTGTCAACACCAGTAGCTAAACTCTTGCTCTGTCAACAGCAGTAGCTTAACTCTTGCTCTGTCAACAGCAGTAGCTAAACATCTTGCTCTGTCAACAGCAGTAGCTCAACTCTTGCTCTGTCAACACCATTAGCTAAACATCTTGCTCTGTCAACACCAGTAGCTAAACATCTTGCTCTGTCAACACCAGTAGCTTAACTCTTGCTCTGTCAACACCAGTAGCTTAACTCTTGCTCTGTCAACAGCAGTAGCTAAACATCTTGCTCTGTCAACAGCAGTAGCTCAACTCTTGCTCTGTCAACACCATTAGCTAAACATCTTGCTCTGTCAACACCAGTAGCTCAACTCTTGCTCTGTCAACACCAGTAGCTAAACATCTTGCTCTGTCAACACCAGTAGCTTAACCCTTGCTCTGTCAACAGCAGTAGCTTAACTCTTGCTCTGTCAACACCAGTAGCTAAACTCTTGCTCTGTCAACAGCAGTAGCTTAACTCTTGCTCTGTCAACACCAGTAGCTAAACATCTTGCTCTGTCAACACAAGTAGCTTAACTCTTGCTCTGTCAACACCAGTAGCTTAACTCTTGCTCTGTCAACAGCAGTAGCTAAACATCTTGCTCTGTCAACACCAGTAGCTTAACTCTTGCTCTGTCAACACCATTAGCTAAACATCTTGCTCTGTCAACACCAGTAGCTAAACTCTTGCTCTGTCAACAGCAGTAGCTTAACTCTTGCTCTGTCAACAGCAGTAGCTAAACTCTTGCTCTGTCAACACCAGTAGCTTAACCCTTGCTCTGTCAACACCAGTAGCTAAACTCTTGCTCTGTCAACACCAGTAGCTTAACTCTTGCTCTGTCAACACCAGTAGCTTAAACTCTTGCTCTGTCAACACCAGTAGCTAAACTCTTGCTCTGTCAACACCAGTAGCTAAACTATTGCTCTGTCAACACCAGTAGCTGAAACAACCAACACTAATAACCATAATAGTTTGAATTATATAAAGCAAACTTTATTTCTTTGATATATGGACAATCAGTGTATTAACTTTTCAAATTGCATACATATTGTGTGACTGCAAACCGTGTATATAATATACAGTGTGTCAGATTTGGTCTCCAGCTACCCATGCTTGTCATACGAAGCAACTAAGAGGATCGGGTGGTCAGCATATCCTAACTGTGTAGATCAGTGCTCACAGCAGCAGTTTCTTCATGTGGGTGACAAGTGTTGGTGAAGACCACTGTCGAAATCTGAATAAGGATAAATATTTTTTTTTATTTATTTTTTTTAAAATCTTTTTATTTGTTCCCATAATTGAGTACAAGCATATAAAGTAAAGCAATAAATGCATAAATACATGATCAAAGTTCATTGGGTTCAACACAAATGTCTGGTCAACTGATAGCATAGAGAGAATATACTCCAGTAACAATTATTCCCCTTTCATTAAAGATTACGTCAGAAATTAAATATTGAGAATAAAGGAAATTATTTGTCTGAAAATTGATCTAATTTATTGTTCCTTCTGGATATGAAATTTTCAACTGTATAAATGTCTTTCAAAAATTTTAAACAATTATTAACTTTTGGAATTATTTTCTTCAAAGTGCAAGTATATATATATTTTTTAGCAGATAAGATTATATGATTTAGTAATGGCTTATTACCCAAAATTCCAAACCAAACCAAGGTCTTTGTTATTTCAAATTTCTGTATATTTTGGATTATCCAGTTTTTAAGGTTCCTTCCAGAAGGTTTGGGTTACAACACATTCCCAATATACATGACATAAGGTTTCACTATCAACATTACAAAGGCTACATACTGCATTGTCAACCAGTTTCATTTTCATAAGTTCTTTTTGTATAAATAATTCTGTGCAAAATTCAAATTGAAAGTCTAAAAGTTTACATCTTTCACATTCCTTCTGCAAATATTAAAAATCATCGCCAATCAAAATCAATATCAGTAAAATAAGTTTTCCCATTTTAGGCAAATATGAGGTTTAATATTGTCAGATAAGAGTTTATCATAAAATAATCTTGAACCTTTTTTCAAATCCATAAAATTTTTATAAAGAAAGTTATCATCCAGATCATTGTAATGTATATTTCTGTATTGTTTTATGGTCAATTTCCATGATTCAGGTATGATATAGAAAACATATCGAAGATCCATATATGTACCTCTAATATCAAATTTGAACTTCAGATCTTCAAGAGGCATAAAACCATCTTCATTACAAAGGTCCTTAATTGTTAAAATTCCATTTTTAGCCCAATGCCTGATAAAGTGATTTGGGTTTTTGAAATTATTATTCAGCCATAAAGGTTGTGCTAAAATTCCTTTAATGTTGTCTGCTTCTATGGTATTCTTATTACAGTATAATTTCCATGCCAATAAAACATCTTTCCAAAAAGGATTATCAATTTCAACAATATTCTGAAAATTTGCTCCATATTTTAGTATATCATTTAATGGAAACTTGCATGGATTACTCATATTTGTTTTTCTCAAATAGAGTCTGAGTGTGGATAATTTCATGGCATTAACAAAGGTTTTAATATCTATCATGTGTAAACCCCCTTCTGTATAATCCTTTTTCAAAGTGCTCCGTTTAATTTTATCATTTTTGTCGTTCCAAATGAATCTGAAAAATAGTCTCTCAAGGAAGTGATAAATTCATCAGGTGGATTAGGTAAAGAATTGAAAATGTGAACCAGTTTTGAAAGAGCCAATGTTTTAATTAGTGATTTTGCCAATCAGTGTGAGATGTCTTTTTCTCCATGTTGCCAATAATCTATTAATTTCTTCAAGTCTTTTTTTTGTGTTGATTACCCATAAGTCATTCAAATCAGGTGTGAATTCAATACCCAAAACTTCAAATTCCTTTCTTTGCCATTCTATATTCAAATCTTCACAAATCATATCTCTGCTACCTGCATTTGAGCCTATCCAGATTGCTTTAGTCTTATCGATATTTATTCTTAACCCTGACATATTGTAAAAAGTATTAATGATATCAATAGCAGCATACAAACTTTCATCTGAACCGTCCAAAAATAATTCAGTATCATCAGCATATTGTCCTAATTTATATTCCTGAACATATAAGGATAAATATTGGTGAGGCCAACTATCACCTGACTCTTGACTGGGTAAAGAGCTAATGGTTCATGATTTGGGGGTAAATTTTGGGGGTAAATTTACAAAATTGTAAGACACAGTGGGTTAGCTTATAGGGATTTGGGTGAGCAGCTGACAGAGTTACCCACCTTTATTGTTGTTTATTGCAGAAATTTATGATGGTGTGGGCATAGTGGCTGGGAAGATGTCACACTTATTGTAAGTTCGGCTATGTGGGAGCAGATTTTATTTTTACAATTTATTTTTATTTTATGTAAAAAAAACCTTGATTTCTGTGGTAATGTACACCTTTTTTTCGATAGAAAATTAAAACTTAGAAGTGTGAAAAATTCATGCATATTTTGAGAGTCAAAGATCTCTTTTCTTTAGTGTAAAACATAAAATAAATCTTTGGGTCCGGGCAGTAACGAGAAACAAGAATATTTTTATACATGGCCTTAGATTAATGATATGCTCCAAATTTATCATGAGTAAACATTTCTAGTGCAGCTGTCACAATGTTGATAATACTCAGGGATATCCTTTATCATTTCCTACATTCACTACCATAGTATAATTGTGAGCCAAATTCAAAATGATCTAAGACAGCTATCTAATAACTCCTGGGGTATGGTGAGGTACCGTATATTACTGTAGATAAGCCAAATTTTGAGGTAGTAGTGTAGTGTAGTACTACTGCAGTAGTGAGGGGGTATTTCTCATGGTAGACACCTGGTAGCTGGGATGTCCATGATGACTAGTAGTTACTAGTACACCTACCAGTACAGTCTGATTGTGAGTCAGTGTGTCTGGGTTTTAGCTTCAGATGGCAGTGCGGCAAGTTGGCTGTGTGGGCATTTACGTCCTTGTGGCCTTCATCCACACCAAGAAGGAGAATCGATCAGAGCCACTTCGACGTGTTGGTGAGATCATCCTTGGCATCTATCTGTTCGCGTACGCCTACATACTGAACAGCAGCAGCGAGTACAAGCGTGGCTTCCTGCACCACTTCCTGGACAGCGATTGGCTGAGATACTTCATCACCCTGGCAATTGTTGCATGTGCATTGTGCTTCCTCTCCGGTTACTTCATCCGTGACATGAGCGTCTGTGCAGTGGTCATGTTGATCCTTGTTACCGTAGTGATGGACCTTGACTTTGACTACTGGACACGTCGCGGTGTCCACTTCTGGAACCAAGCTCGACTGCTTCTGGACAGTCTCACTGCTGTAACAGGATTTGCTTTATTTTCTCGGGTTTTTGAAAACAGAATTAAGACTGAGCATTATGAATAATGGACCATGTTGAAAAATTTTTCACACAAGTGCAATTTCCATGTACTCTGTTGATGTTTTGGTGAATGGATGGTTGTGTTCTGCTCAAATCTTGGCGACAGCAAAACAGTGTGTGTTTTGAGTGATGTCCTCATGTGCCATCATGCCCTTGACCTTGACCTTTTTCATGCAGATAGGCAGAAAAATTATTATTCAATTTATATTCAGATTATGTACATAGGTCCAAACCATGTGAATGTATCAATCCAAGTATTCAGCCATTCCATGACAAAACATGAATTACCTTCATATGTGTTGCATGACTCACCAGTGTACCTGGTGACAGAAAGTTAAAAAATAATATCCTCAAAAGCCACAAGGCATAGACAGCTGCAACAGTCTTTTAGTAATACTGGCTATAATTAGATGGGAAGTTTGTTCAAGACACCATCATGGGTATTTCATTTTAGTGCCACAGATATTGTTTTTATGTAATTTTTTCTCCTTTTCTTTCAGTCTATATTACCCCAAATGTTCTAACACTCACCCTTGGTCATTATTGTTAAACACTGATACATAGAGATAACCACCCTTGGGCTCCCATGTCATCACCCATGAAGATCCGGGTTAAAATTGATCTTCAGTAACCCATGCTTGTCGTAAGAGGCGACTAACGGGATCGGGTGGTCAGGCTCGCTGACCTGGTTGACACATGTCATCGTACCCCAGTTGCCTAGATCGATGCTCATTCTGTTGATCACTGGATTGTCTGGTCCAGACTCAATTATTTACAGACCGCCGCCATATAGCTGTAATATTACTGACTGTGGCATCGAACTAAACTCACTCACTCACTCACTTCCATGTCATCATCCCTTTCTTACTTTCTCACGTTATCAATTATAATGTCTCTACAATTCACATGAATTTTTTACGTTTTACATCATCAGATTTTATGCTTCACTGTTTTAAAAGATGACTAAGATAGCTTGAACTGGTGTGGAACAAGGAATCAGAAGTATTATGTTCCTGAAATTGTTTTATCATGTATGCAAAAACCCACAAGCTGTTGCCGATGAAAGGGTTCTGGGATCTATTGTTGCATGTCCTAACAAATATAATGAGGTTAATGAAAACTATTAAAATTTATTCTTTGTTAGTCCATTATCAATTTCTGTGTTTAATGTTCTGTAAGTTGTATGGGTAGTGTATGTTTGATCTGGCCTGTGTTTGTCCTGCTATGGTAACACCAGGAGCTGATGAGGCCATGACATGAAGCCCTGTCTGGTATGTGGCTTGGAAATGAACCTCTACCTTGATCATGAACACATATACCTTTAACTTAATTATTTCATTATGGATGTAAATATTTTAAATCATTCACGAAGTAAGTTATAGTCTGATGTATTTTGTGAAACAATGTAAGTGTTGCAGTAATGTTAGAGTGTGGTTATGGACTAAGCCTACACTATCTAACCAGACAGTGTGCTTATGGACTGTGCCTACACTATCTAACCAGACAGTATGGTTATGGACTGTGCCTACACTATCTAACCAGACAGTATGGTTATGGACTGTGCCTACACTATCTAACCAGAGAGTGTGGTTACGGACTATGCCTACACTATCTAACCAGACAGTGTGGTTACGGACTATGCCTACACTATCTAACCAGACAGTATGGTTACGGACTGTGCCTACACTATCTAACCAGACAGTGTGGTTATGGACTGTGCCTACACTATCTAACCAGACAGTGTGGTATGGACTGTGCCTACACTATCTAACCAGACAGTGTGGTTATGGACTGTGCCTACACTATCTAACCAGACAGTGTGGTTATGGACTATGCCTACACTATCTAACCAGACAGTGTGGTATGGACTGTGCCTACACTATCTAACCAGACAGTGTGGTTATATGGAATCCAGACAGAGTGGTGACTGTGCCTACACTATCTAACCAGAGAGTGGTGGTATGGACTGTGCCTACACTATCTAACCAGACAGTGTGGTATGGACTGTGCCTACACTATCTAACCAGACAGTGTGGTTATGGACTGTGCCTACACTATCTAACCAGACAGTGTGGTTATGGACTGTGCCTACACTATCTAACCAGAGAGTGTGGTTATGGACTGTGCCTACACTATCTAACCAGAGAGTACTGTGCTATGCCACTATCTAACCACCAGAGGTGTGGTTATGGACTGTGCCTACACTATCTAACCAGACAGTATGGTTCATGGACTGTGCCTACACTATCTAACCAGACAGTGTGGTTATAGACTGTGCCTACACTATCTAACCAGAGAGTGTGGTATGGACTGTGCCTACACTATCTAACCAGACAGTGTGGTTATGGACTGTGCCTACACTATCTAACCAGACAGTGTGGTTATGGACTGTGCCTACACTATCTAACCAGACAGTGTGGTTATGGACTGTGCCTACACTATCTAACCAGACAGTGTGGTATGGACTGTGCCTACACTATCTAACCAGAGAGAGTGGTATGGACTGTGCCTACACTATCTAACCAGACAGTGTGGTTATAGACTGTGCCTACACTATCTAACCAGACAGTGTGGTTATGGACTATGCCTACACTATCTAACCAGACAGTGTGGTTATGGACTGTGCCTACACTATCTAACCAGAGAGTGTGGTATGGACTGTGCCTACACTATCTAACCAGACAGTGTGGTTATGGACTGTGCCTACACTATCTAACCAGAGAGAGTGGTATGGACTGTGCCTACACTATCTAACCAGACAGTGTGGTATGGGCTGTGCCTACACTATCTAACCAGACAGTATGGTCATGGACTGTGCCTACACTATCTAACCAGACAGTGTGGTTATGGACTGTGCCTACACTATCTAACCAGACAGTGTGGTTATGGACTGTGCCTACACTATCTAACCAGACAGTGTGGTTATGGACTGTGCCTACACTATCTAACCAGACAGTATGGTTATGGACTGTGCCTACACTATCTAACCAGACAGGGTGTGGTATGGACTGTGCCTACACAACCAGACGGTTAGTGGTTATGGACTATGCCTACACTATCTAACCAGTGTGTGGTTATACACTGTGCCTACACTATGATTATGGACTGTGCCTACACTATCTAACCAGAGTGGTTATGGACTGTGCCTACACTATCTAACCAGAGAGTGTGGTATGGACTGTGCCTACACTATCTAACCAGACAGTGTGGTATGGACTGTGCCTACACTATCTAACCAGACAGTGTGGTATGGACTGTGCCTACACTATCTAACCAGACAGTATGGTTATGGACTGTGCCTACACTATCTAACCAGACAGTGTGGTTATGGACTGTGCCTACACTATCTAACCAGACAGTGTGGTTATAGACTGTGCCTACACTATCTAACCAGAGAGTGTGGTATGGATCTGTGTCTTCACTATCTAACCAGAGAGTGTGGTTATGGACTGTGCCTACACTATCTAACCAGACAGTGTGGTTATGGACTGTGCCTACACTATCTAACCAGACAGTGTGGTTATGGACTGTGCCTACACTATCTAACCAGAGAGTGTGATATGGACTGTACCTATCGGCAATACTGTTGGTGAGCTCATATGCCTATGTTTTGTACCAAATCATCACCACTTTGAAGAAATCCATCTGAACCTAGCAGATGCTTACTTTCTCTTTGTCCTGTTTGTCTAAAGGAGTGATCATTTTTTGTTTTGAGAAATAAACCATGTTATCTTATACATGTAGACGTTTGTCAGTGTTTAATGAAGGACATGTGTGATCATGTATAGATCTTACTCTCCAGGCTTAGTGATTCATGGTTTCAAAGAAATTAGCAGAGTTCTAAGTGTACAAACACCAACAGATAATACAGCCTTGGCCAGGCACACCAGTGGATGACGGCACAAGTATCGGTCAAGTCATGATGTCATACTGAACAAGGACACAAAACCACCAGATCTCCACTACCCCATTAGTGCCCTGCAGCCACACCGACCAATGGTTGATAGTGTGACAACCATTAAATATCACCACTACAGTGACACACAACAATTTAATCTCCTCTATTGCTAACCAAGGTCCCCACAAGGGGAGCACCTAAACATGTACATCCTTAAGAAGGTGAACTGCAGCAAGCACCTGTCTACAACCCTGATGACTTGGATTTGCCTGGTAACATGACAAAGGACTCAACTCGTAACGCTGTCTTGACTATTACATTTATTCACATTTGAACTGTTGAATCTGAGCAGTACTGAGAACAAACCCATCCATGATTGTTTTGATGCAGAATTAAGTTGTTTAAACTTGGCCCTTCATCACTCTGTTTGTAGTTTATCATGTCGTTGCAGTCTAAGCTGTGAGTCCAGTTTAATTAGCTGTTGTTGGAAACCTGTATTCGGGCACACCTCTCGATGGCTCCTGACCAATCGGAGAGCATCTTTGACTGTCATGTGACGTTTGAGCATCAGGAATGCCACAGCTAAAGTGGCAGATCGACTTACTCCCTGTATACAGTGGACCAGAACTTTTCCTGCAAGTCAATTGTATGTCTTTGAACAAAATTCTGATGATAGCCTGAACTTCATTCTTACATATATTTCATGAGTAACAGTAATTTGACCCAATTTAGGTAAGGTGACCTCCATTATAAAGGGGAATTCAGTACAAGGGATGTACAGGACACATGCAGACACAATGTCTCCCTTACAACGGATGTGTCCATAACCAGATTTGCAGGCAAACATTATCCGCAAGGTGTACAGGGCCATCCATTGTGAAAAAAATTATGAAATCAAAAGAGAGCAAAATCTTTTGTTGATATTAGGGACCGTTCATAATTTATGGCTAGGGGGGTGATGGTGATATTAAGGGAGGGCCATCAATTATGTTCTGGGGAGAGGTGGGTGGTGGTGGTGGTGGGGTTAATAAATTTTCTACACATTTACTAGGGGGGTCATTGATTTTGTACATGACATGCCCACCTGCACTTACTTTGTACATACATTTTAGGGGGGTCATTCACATTGTACATGCTTCTCCATAAAACTCATCATCACTTTCCCCCTAGCCATAAATTATGAACAGTCCCTTAATATATTGTTAAAATGTCTGCTAGGTATTTAAAAGAAGCACAACATTTCCCAACTACATGTCATCAACTCATCACATCACTTGTCTGTTGTAATAGACTCATGGCTCAAGAGGATAAAATTATGGCGGATATATGAGATGGGAAAAGAGTTAAAGGAATTTTACCAAAGAGAATGATATATGATCACACAGGCAAATGGACAGATACTGAACAAAAGCTTGGAGGTCGGTGTGGTCAGTAATTTAGGACAAAGATGAGAAACAAAAACTTGAGATGCAACCTGTTAACAATGGATCCAGGGCTATAGGCAAACCAGTGGGCGATAGCATGAGTAAAGGAAGCAATCAGTGACAAACTTCCATTCCTCTGCAGTCACCTGTCACAAGTCCTTCAGAACTGCTAGACACCAAACTTACTGTGTTATTGTAGAATGGTACGGTGTACTTCATGCACTTCTCCATGGGGTGCACAACTTACCCCCATTGTCCAATGCTTTCTCAATGAAGTCAGCTGACTCTTGGAAGAAAGGGTAAAGGTTAAAACTCATGTGATCAATGGCTTCAATGCCCTTGAAAGTGACCTTGAGCTTCCTATACATGTCCTCATTGGTGTTTACATGATGGATATCGACACCGTGGGCAGCATTGAGGATGTGAGTGACCCAAGCCGTCGGAGCTGCATCAGATCACGAGCAATCGACCTTCAACAAAGGGTAAATGTTCATTCACATGGAGGTCAATAAGACTTGGTTTAATGTTGGTTTAAGTGACACATAAAGTGTCCTGCTAGCTATACTGGTATGGTAATATCCTATCTGAACATTTGATCTATTCTTGACTGTGACTCTTGTTGAGATGGCTGACTTTACCCATCAAAACATCATATGATAAAAAAAATTGCAACAATGGATCCTGTAAGTAAAATTGTGATTAAAAATATTTCTTTTAATATTTCATTTTTGCAAATAGTGAACCTCACTGTTTAAGATGGATATGTAAATCTGACCTTTGACAAAACAATTTTACAGGACACTGTGGAAGAAATCCATTTGGACATCCTCTGATTCTAGTAATTTCTGGAATGTATACGTGGTATACAACCACTAAGGACACATTGGAGACTCGAAATTAACTGACCCGGTACAGCAGTTAATGCCACAAGAGTGGCCTGAATATCTTTGTTAAATATATTAAGAATTTCAAACAAATGATTGAAATTGAAAAAGAAGTAGATGATTTTGGTGACTATAACACATTTTGGAGAGGTTTTTTTGTAAGTAGGCATTTCACCTGTCGGCCAATCCATTTTCAAGAAAATAAAATACTGCATAAATTATTAAACAGCAATAAGAGTTACACATATGGTTTCATATTGTATCCATGTGGGGAATCAAACACGGGTCTTCAATGTGATGAGCGAACACTTTAACCATTAGTCTACCCCACCGCCTCCAACATACCACAAAAGTGAAATAGAAGTATCACAGAACACAAGTATTTTTTATACAATGTATATATTTACATGATATATTGCTTTCCTCTGGACAAGAGCCAAGTGACATGGCAGCAAAATGTAGGTTTCCCAACCAAATCAATGAACATTTCAGTCTTCATACATTTTTCACAAAACTATGGCATTCTTGAAATGACGAACATTGAGAGGCTACTTCAATGTTTCAGTTGTATTTGAATAAAAGAATGTCTTGAAGAGTGTACTTACTCATCCCCAACAAGGAGATTGTCATACACCTCGTCATACGCTGTGTTGGGCAGCATGGTCATTCCACCAGCAGGTTGAGTGATGATGTCATCAAGCTCCTCCAGACCGCACTCAGCAGCATCTTCACTCTCTGGTGTGGCAGAGGCCATGTCTGCCTGCAGGCAGAGAACAGGTAACACAGATAAGGAAACTGGTGTGTGTGTGTGTGAGTGCGTGCGTGAGAGTGGGTGGAAGGGTGAGTGAATTGGGGTGAGACAGTGGGTGAGTGAGTAACACGCATTGTTTTTCTATATTCTGGCAGTATCATGCCTGGTCAAGTTATTTATAAGAGGTTATACTTATTTATTGGATCATGGTATCAAGTTATTATATCAACCATTATGTGGTAAACTTAGTTTTCATGATGGTCTCTGTATATAGAGCCTCCACCATGTACAACATCCCTTCATATAGCCTGACAGTCTATGACTGAGTAGACGTCTGCTACAACAGTTACGTGGTGATGGCCTCTGTATATAGAGCCTCCACCATGTACAACATCCCTTCATGCAGCCTGACAGTCTATAACTGAGTAGACGTCTGCTACAACAGTTACTTGGTGATGGTCTCTGTATATAGAGCCTCCACCATGTACAACATCCCTTCATATAGCCTGACAGTCTATGACTGAGTAGACGTCTGCTACAACAGTTACGTGGTGATGGCCTCTGTATATAGAGCCTCCACCATGTACAACATCCCTTCATATAGCCTGACAGTCTATGGCTAAGTAGACGTCTGCTACAACAGTTACGTGGTGATGGTCTCTGTAGATAGAGCCTCCACCATGTACAACATCCCTTCATTTAGCCTGACAGTCTATGACTGAGTAGACGTCTGCTACAACAGTTATGTGGTGATGGCCTCTGTATATAGAGCCTCCACCATGTACAACATCCCTTCATGCAGCCTGACAGTCTATGGCTGAGTAGACGTCTTCTGCAACAGTTACATGGTGATGGCCTCTGTATATAGAGCCTCCACTAAGTGCAACATCCCTTCATGCAGCCTGACAGTCTATGGCTGAGTAGACGTCTGCTACAACAGGTACAAGACTCCTCTCTGTACAATGTCATTCTAATTCAAAATGAGCGTGCTGACGTCATCACGAACACAAACAAACACAGTATTCTGTGAATATTCCATGTGGATACTGTGATGAGAATAGACACTGATCTGTTGACCATGATAGAGAGATTGTTAGATAAATACACCATAATAATCTTTAATGTTAAAAGTAGAACCATCTGCAAAACACAACACAGATATTTCCAAAATCACTTTATAACAGGAGAAGCAACTTCAAACAAAGATAATTTACCAAACTGCTGATTGTAGATTTCATACATTTTTTCCAGACCAAAAGCAAACAAATATATATTCATAACACAATAACATAATATACAGAGATAACAAACAAGAAAAGTAACATTTGGTTGGGAACATAAAACCCACTGCAGTAGTTATTCAAACAGAATCATATACTTCTTTGATGGGCATTTTAGAAGTTGAGTTGATGAAGAATAATTGTCATTATTCTTCAGAATAATATACATGACAAAATCACACATCACAGCCATGACCTTGCATCTGATGTAAATCTTCACCAGACAAGCTGCTGACAGATTGTATGAAGCACTCAGTTGTCATGCTAATCTAGTTAGCGGTCCTGTGATGACAACACTTGGCATATCCAACACACTGATACAAAAACAAATGTACGATAAATATGGGTTATATATAAGTGTTCAACAAAATAATACAAATAATAATTCATTTATATGGCACCTAGTATCTATCTGACTAGTTGCTAACTGGACACTGTAATCACTAACTGATTATTATTAACCATTAAGCTGCCAGTGAGGTTACTGTTCACATGACTTATCTCACCGGGTACCCATTTTCTGCTGGGTGAACAGAGGCAAGTTTGGACAAACTCACGTGCCTAAGGTGAGACCACATGTATCACATGTGCTTCGTTGAGGGGCAGGACTGGAGTCACGAGTCAAGCTGCCCAAAACGGTCATCCATTCAAGGACTCTCCACACTCAACGATACTTAACTTCAACTGATTTGTGACCTGAGCTCTATGCACAGGACTACACACCATCAACATGAATGCCCCAGACAGATGCAGCCTCTTATTCCCACACATTGTACTATACCTCCTGTTCTACTCCCTTCACTTCCAGTCCTGAACCATTACTTCCAGATCATCCCTGCAATCATCACAGACTGATATGATGCAAGCATAAGTCTGTAGAACTGCATAAGTAAAGGTGCAACAGTAAAGACTAATGAATGGTTAAATTACTGGCTAAATCAACTGCAAAAATCACCTTTGACACTCATGCCTATCAGCCCTTGACGTTGAAGAATTTGTTAAGATCTAAGCAAATTTATACAAAGTTTCATGTTCGGACATTTAATACTTACTTTGACCAAAGCCTTCTGTGTACCAGAACATTTTAGATGCAGGGACCAATCCAAGAGAAGCAATATACACTCAGTTTTGATAAAGCATATTCACATACATTAAACCTTTATTTTGTGACCTTGACCTTTCCGTGCCAAGTGCAAAAACGAATAATGCCATCAACAAATAAGTCACTTTAAATGCTCTCATGACAAACACCAGTCATGTAAATACCAATTGCAATGAAAACATCTGTTTCTGACTTAAGCAGAGACCCCAGAGACCTGACTCTAACAAAATGCCTCTGTTAGAAGGATCAGTATATCTATCCCAGGGGGACAGATACTCGTCCATTATTCCAAGAATATAAGCCAGTTACTTAATGTTACTCATATGTGCAAGATGAGCCATGAGCTACTAGTATGTGGATATAAACATTAGTGTCAACCCATTCCATGAATGTTATGTTAAATAGCACATCAGCTCAAAATTTAATCCTGCATCACAACTCCACACAACGCTGAGCAGCTTCCATCATGAACCGTTCCCGCCGAAGAATATTCTGGATCCTGTTTTCCTCATCACTGCTCTTACACAGGATAACAAAGTGGCTGTCTTTCTTCCTGGCCCGACCCCTCATCTGTACCAGGGTGGTGACTGTATTTGGTGGGTTCATGCAGATGACCAGCTCACATTCAGGGATATCCACGCCTTCCTCTGCTACAGATGTGGCTACAATGATGTGATACTTTTTGCTCTTCACTCCATCAAGCACACGTTTCTGATGTTTCACCTTCATCCCACCATCAGTTGGACCAGACCCATGGCCAACCACTGATGTGATCTTCAGACTGTTTGCTGATGCAAATGTTGTCTGCTTCAGGAAGTTGCTCAGTCTGTGTGCATGTGCTCTCTCCCGGACAAGAATCAAGGCCATTGCATTTCTCCCAGTTTTCCAGTTGATATATTCATCATTGGTGAGAGTACTGAGTAACTGTGTGTAAAGTGAGATGTGAAGTGGGTTGTCATCAAACTCCTGCTGAACATGAGCTGAGTGAGCAGCTCTTTTCATAGCATCTTGCAGCTCTTTACACTCAATACCGATCCCCTGAGCATGATGGAAGCCACTTCGTGCCTGATTCTGGTTGAGAGTCTGCAGGTCAGCTACAGCTGTTGGTATCCCAGAACCATCCAAATCAGACAATGCAATCAAAACTACCGAGGAATGATTGACAACAAACTCCATATTCATTTTGACTTGTGGCTCCTCTGAATTTGCTTGGCAGTTCCCAAGAGCTTGGACAAACTTTCCAGTAGCAACATTGTCCAGGTGCTCTACATACTCAGCCAAGTCTCTCTGCATCCTCTGCACTCCCCACTGACAGACATCATCAATATTGCACAACTCTGACAGCTTCAAGTAACACTGGCAAATGTACATCAAAAGTGTCTTCCGGAAAGCTTTTTCTTCATCAGAAAATGGCTCATAGTTGATCTTCAGTTTGGCATGGGATTGATAGCGTTTGAGTTCTCTCACACAATCTCCTTGGACGATGGCAATGCTGGCTCCGCCTAGATTGTGGAATAACTCCTGCAGCATGCTGACTGTGTTCTCAACACTATCCCGCCCCGCAGGAGAGGCAGTCAGACCGAGCACTTTGGGTCTGAGTTCAGGCGGGCATGGACGGTGATACCCCTCTAGGAGACGATTGAAGGGGTGATTCTTGACACAGTGATGAGCTTCATCAAACACAACCAGCGAAAAGTGTTCCCAGCGGAGCTGCTGCTTCTGCAGTAGATTGTCAGCATAGGCTACAATGCAAATAAATCACAGTTAGGTTACAACACAGATATGTCACAGTTAGGCTACAACACAGATATGTCACAGTTAGGCTACAACACAGATATGTCACAGTTAGGCTACAACACAGATATGTCACAGGCTACAACACAGATATGTCACAGTTAGGCTACAACACAGATATGTCACAGGCTACAACACAGATATGTCACAGTTAGGCTACAATACAGATATATCACAGGCTGCAATGCAGATATGTCACAGTTAGGCTACTACACAGATATGTCACAGTTAGGCTACAACACAGATATGTCACAGTTAGGCTACAACACAGATATGTCACAGTTAGGCTACAACACAGATATGTCACAGTTAGGCTACAACACAGATATGTCACAGGCTACAATGCAGATATGTCACAGTTAGGCTACAACACAGATATGTCACAGGCTACAACACAGATATGTCACAGACTACAACACAGATATGTCACAGGCTACAACACAGATATGTCATAGTTAGGCTACAACACAGATATGTCACAGTTAGGCTACAACACATATATGTCACATTTAGGCTACAACACAGATATGTCACATTTAGGCTACAACACAGATATGTCACAGTTAGGCTACAACACAGATATGTCATAGTTAGGCTACAACACAGATATGTCACAGTTAGGCTACAACACACAGCTACAACACAGATATGTCACAGGCTACAACACAGATATGTCACAGGCTACAACACAGATATGTCACAGTTAGGCTACAACACAGATATGTCACAGTTAGGCTACAACACAGATATGTCACAGGCTACAACACTGATATGTCACAGTTAGGCTACAACACAGATATGTCACAGGCTACAACACTGATATGTCACAGGCTACAACACAGATATGTCACAGGCTACAACACAGATATGTCACAGGTCACAGAACTACAACACAGATATGTCAGAGGCTACAACACTGATATGTCACAGTTAGGCTACAATATAGATATATCACAGGCTACAATGCAGATATGTCACAGTTAGGCTATAACACAGATATGCCACAGTTAGGCTATAACACAGATATGTCACAGTTAGGCTATAACACAGATATAATACTGTCATGCTAGAACATAGACATTTTTCAGAGTTAAGCTACAACAATGACATAGTTAGTTATATCACAATTAGCATAGGTTGATATGTATGAAGGAATAGGATTTTTTTAATAAACAAAAAGTAGATTCCTAAACTTCAGGAATGACCAGTGGGTTGTATTTCCTTCCACTACTACTATACTATTTGGTATTTTGCAACTGGGAAACAGTTTATTTTGGAAAAATTGATTTCTAACACTCCACACATTAAAGATTTATAACTAAAGTACTGTCGGAAATGCTAGAAAAATGCTTTTTAGCCTTAATATCTTTAGAAAGGTGATAAATGTACTATGTTGTCAATATATCAACTCACCTATAGTGTACCTAATTTTTATTTCAATTGATTTAACATTCCCATGCATTTAAAGGGCAGTTTACTGGAGAGAATTTGGTACCAAAACAACAACTCAAGATATTTTCAGAGTTCAACAACAGAAATCTGAAATAGTCTTTACATTTATGCTAATAATACAGGTGGTGTAAAAATATGGATTAACAAATAAATGTTGAATGTTGGTGTTACTTTACTTAATTATCGTTTCTTTATTGAAGAAATGTTAATATAAAGCATAACCGGGACGTAAAACCATCCTTGACAACTTTGACAAGGGAGTACTTAGACGGGCGGTCTACAAACTTTATGAGAAGAAGAATATATATATTCTAAAGAAGCTACACCAGTGACTTCGTTAAATCTTTGGCCAATGTTCACAACTAGATTAAACTGACCGAATTACATCCATATTTTTGCAATGAAATATACTGTTGACATGCAAAACATTTATTAAAACATTGCACATTTCTACAATCAATCGATAAGATAACACAAGTGATAGGATTCTTTCCAATGTACAGTAATTCGTATGTTTATTTCAAAACAAACACACATACACAAATGATCCCTTACATAACCAATACTTATACTATAATGCATTACATATTCAACATTTTGAACAAAACATCTATTGAGATGACCCCTCGCCCGAGCGTGTGCTCAGCTGTCAATTTCACCTGTCGATACCGTGCATGCTGATGATGTAACACAGGCAGTTAATGTTTGTATCAAATAACGTCCCACTACCCCTTATTTTTCTAAGTTTTTGATATTTTCATCAGTAAAAACACATTTTAGGGCATGTCTCAAAATTTATTCCCTCGGTCTACATTAGGTAGATGTTTCTTAAAGTGATATTTGTTATTTAAGTAACTGTAATATCTCTGAATTTTAAATATAAGTCAAAAAGCATTTTTCTTGCATTTCCGTAAGTACTTTAAGTGTCTCCACTTCTGCAAGTACCTGCTGTGCTGACGATGATGTCATGCTTGTAGAGAGGTGTGTTGTCTGTAGGCAGTATGTTCCCACACAGCGTGGCTATCTTCAGCTGGCGTTCCTGCACCTCTCCATCAACTGTCAGGCTGGAAGTAACATAGTATTCTACAATGAATTATGGACATACTCCATTCTGATTGGTCAGTCAGAGGTTTCAAATGACAACAACCGCCTCTGATTGACATAACTGATGTGCTGACCACTAGTAGAAAAGTACATCATTTCTCAGTGATTGTCAGGGGGGCAGTTCTAAACCACTATATGGACAACTGTAGATAACATACATGGTATATGGCAATACATTTTGTGAAGAGAACATGGCAGAGATCAATTAAGAGTTTGTAGTTCAAGTTTGAGGGACATCAGACTGTGAGAGCTTTGGACCTTTTCTCAAGCTATCATTCTTTCTGTATCACGATGAGAGGTGTGACTTTATAATGGTGATACGCAGCAGAGAAACAACCTTGCATCGCTTGATTACTGTTCTCTATGGTTGCTCACTTCATGACGGCTTACAAAGTAGGTGTGCTACACACTTTCTATGTCTTCTATTTACGGATGTGTTTTGTAAAATGATACAATATGTGTAAAATAATCATGTTTAGGCACATAAAGCACCATTATTTGTTTAAAGGCTTTTATAATTATCCAAGTTTCCTCAAAAATCAAATTCATTCTGTAGATACTTTTAACGTAATTTTAATGAATATTTAAAGTTTTAATAACATTTTCTGATCTAATTTTATGTCGAGAAGAACAAGACTGTATTTTTAAGCAGCCATAGTTACTAGCAAACTAACAGGCATCAATAATTATGTATTTAGTTTAGTATTCTGTAATATTGATTACTGCCTTCTTTTGCAACATCATTTTCTGTAGATTTTAAAGTTCAAATACAGACAATGAGCAGCTGAGATAACAGGGCCTAAAGATGTTTCACAGAGCTGTGGCTTTGGACTAGTGGTACATAACAAACACTGATATATGCTAACAAAGTCTCTGGCATTGAATTGCTGGTAGACTACCACAGTTTGGGTTTATTTAACGTTTCAGGGTACTTTCTGACCCTTATCATGACTTTAGCACTTATAGGCATATATCACCTCTGTTTCTGTTTCTGGGGAAGTAATCAGTAACAGATGTGCTTACATGGCAATTCTCATGATCATATGACCATGGACAAGCTAAAGGACAAACTGGCTACTGTAAACACTCATGTCAAATAAATGGTGATGGAACTGAATTGAACTATATTTACACTCAGGTCGTGATCAGCAGTTACAACAGTTACATACATCCTAAACTTCAGGTCTACAATATGTATCAACAACTTGACCAAGCAGTGAGTACACATACTAATGTACAACATTCCACTGAGAAACATGGTATTCAAGGTAGACAGTAACATAAAACATTTACACATCGTAGCTAAATTTTACTATTAGAAAGTAAATTCATATTAGGCCAGACCAATTTTATTTCTTGTTTTACGAATCTGCCTGTCGTAATTTTTCAAAAATAAGAAAAAAAAATTAAAAATGAATTTTGCCTGCTCAAAAAATATAATTCAAATGTTTTTATTGATCAAAAATGTAAACTCACATAAAAAAAATTGTTTTGTTTTTTGGCCCATATGCACTTCATAAATTGCCAAAAGTAAAATATTTCTGGTACTTCAAAGGAATATTACTTTGACTGGTGATTTTTTTCATTTTTTTAAAATTTCCTCCTGCCTTTATGTTTTCTGACGACAAAAATCCGTAAAAGAAGAAATAAAAAATGGTCTTGCCTTAAAGACAAATTTATTGTCAAGTGTATCATGGTGCCAGTTCAATAAGTATGCAAAGTCAACATTCCCCAACTATCATGTGGTTACTGACACAACAGCCAAGTGCAGACAGGTTGCGGCCTCTCTAGCTGAACCTCCTTGTGTCTACTACATAATGGAGGCCATTTTGTATGGGTAGTGTGTCTTGTCTCACACCACAGTGATAGGTAAACCAGCAATCTTGCAGACCTGAAAGTTGACAGTAAATACTGAGGCTGTAATGAAAAACTGGCTTATCTGAAGCGGAGCTAAGTGTCAGGACACAGGTGACTTTTGTGACAATACACAGTCATGGACAGAAAACTACCTACCGCTTGTACATCCGATCCCCAAGCTCATTGAAGATGTACTTTGACTGCTGCAGCACCAACAACACCTTGTCCACCAGGAACAAGACTGGGCGCAGAGGGTTCTGATTCAGCATACAACTTAGCGTCATCACCGACACCAGCGTCTTCCCAGTACCTGCAGCAGCAGCAAACATGTCACATTGCTGCATCACATCCATCAGTATCCAGTCACACAGATCTGAGTTACCATAAATATCCTGGACCAAGTTGCCACCAACCTTTAGTTTGAAGCTATTTCACTAGGCATTACACTAAAAATGACACAGTTATCACCAAACTGAAACAAGTTGCAATATCACCAATACAATCAAATCACGATGAGCCGAATCACTGGGGACCAAGTAATATATTCGACTTATCGATGTATTCGAGACATAGGTATGTCTATGAGGGTAGAAAAAAAAGATGATCCAGTCCTAATTCCTCCGCCTAAGCATTTGTTTATCTAATGATTTTACCCAATCCACAAATAAATCAGACGTCATCCAGGCTGACTTGTTGTGACAGTATGAAGTCAGCAGAGATTTGACGTTCTTAAAACAACGTGGCTTAGCAGATTTCCCTATCACTAATAGGGGCACCTTATCAGTTCCAGTCTGATTAGCACAGACATTGATTTCCGTAAAATCACTAATCTGCCTTTTGAACTCACCCGTCAATGGTGGAAAGGTGTGAGCCGCGCTGGTTTGTTAATTGGATCAGTTAGCTACACCAATTAACTTCTCATTGACTGACTTCGGCTTATGTATACAAGATTGCTGTTGTTTGAATCTCATGGGACCAAATTTCCTTCTCGAGTCATCGTGTGTATTTATGAGACGACTTCATGTAACCGGAAATAAAATGATGACAGCTATAACAGGGAATGGTCGGGACCGACCGGTACTTCGAGTTATGCATAATATTCGAGACACCGGCATTCGACTCATCAGGATTTGACTGTACTTGAATTGCCCAATACACTTGGAAAATTTCTCCCCTATGTCTGTTAATGTTCAGATAAACATCTTTCTAAGCCAGAATTCTCTTTTGATAAGTAAACTAATTTTATCTCAAATATAGTGAGAGCTCATTAAAACAAATTGACCATGTTGAATGAAAGAAAATCACTGCTAGTATATGGGAAAGTTACAAATACTGTACTATTAAAGATAAAGGGATATAGATGGCATAGTCCCTCACTTAAGAATCTATGGTGGATATCAAGCTGCACGGTTGTGTATGTCGTAGCTTTAACTCTACAGAAATGAGTACAATTTTTCTGACAAGAAACTGGATAACTGAAATTGAACATGCTTTTTCAGAACTAACAAAGAAAGAAAAGAGTTGATTGAGAAACACGTAGACTCACCTGTTGGCAAGAAGATGACCCTGTCACTGTCCATAGTTTTGCAAAACAGATCCACCTGGTAGCTTCGAGGTATGGTCTTAGTCAATTGATAGGCCTCTGCCTCCGCATCGTCTATACCGAGTACCCGCTTTATCTGTCCCAGGTTGAGCTGGGGAGCAGTCACCTCTGCTGCCCTCTGCCTATGAGCTCTACTCTCTAGGTGAGCTTGGTAGTCTTTTTCTGTGTTCATCGGCCGATTACATGTGTCACAGTAATATTTGAAATAGCCACTGAAAGGGTTCTTCGGTGGCACCTTTGGTATTGCACCTATACCAAGATGGCCACTCAGCAGTTCAAAATTAGAGGATGGAAAGATACTTGACTCTGCATCTGTTTGTAGAGACATGTTTCTTTCTTGTTTAGGAGCAGCTGAATGATTGTGATCAGTCGTAGTGGAGCCCACAGAAGCATGTGGTCCATCATTGAGAACACTGCTAGCATGTGAGTTGTAACTGATGAAACTTTCAGCCTCACCACCAGGAATGTCAACATCTAATGTCTTGCTTCGATCAGATTCATCTTCTTCTGAATCCAGGTTCTCAAATGCCTCCAGGGTAACTTTATTTCCCCTGTGTCGAACAGTGGTCTGGTTTTTTAGAGGGTTGTAGGTATTGGTCCGCCTACTTCCAACTGATCCCTTGACGTTATCTTGGAAGTCATCAGTGTCTCCAGCAGCAGTATGTTTTGGCTGAGTGATCGCTGCTGTTTTCATCCTCAAAGGCATCACATCTGTTGTGGTAATGGCAGGGTTGACAAGTGGGGAACCTCTGCCCATGCCAAGTTTAGCCAATGTAGTGCTTTTGGAAACAACATATGTTGAAGGAATTATTTCTGTGTTACTTCTGTAATCCTTGGAAACCTCTTCCTTTGCTGCAGCAGACATTCCTGGACTTTGTTCTCGTCCCATGCTAAGCATATTGCTGGCACTGTTTGTAGTTGATGACATCCTCACCCTGTGTCAGTTCCACTCTTTCTGCCGGACTGTAAACCATCAGATTCAAGATGGTCCCTGTTTCCTAAAGTATCTGAACACATATTTGATGCTGGAGTGATAGGAACAGGCTTGAAACTTGAAGTGGCTGTTTCCTTCACTTCAGTATTTGGAGTTACGCATTTGACTTTAGTGACTTCTCCTGTACGAAGAGCTTCCCATACATCCTTGTAACCACCATGCTTGGGTTCTGTCATGTCCCTTGGACTATCTTCAACCTTACAATCTTGGCTACTGTTGTCAGTATTAGCAGATTCAGCCACATCGACATAACGCTGCATCTTTTCCACAGTCTTAAGATGCTTGGGACTTTTCTTATGGATTGACAACTGTTCGAAAGAGTTCAGTTGGCACTGGCATACCTCACACACATACATGTTTAGTGGGGACAGGCCTGCCAAGTTCTGATTGCCTGGTGAATCTCGCCCCAGAACTTCTGTCCTGACCTGGTCCAAGGAACTGCTGGCCAACCCTGCCTTGTTTTTATGTTTGGCAGAAGCATAATGCTGCGCAGCACTTTCTTGTCCACTGAATGACTTGAGACACACCTTACACTCTAGTGCCAACATTCCATTCTGGTTGACCATCTTCCTCTTTTCCTCAGCCCTTGCGTGATTCCGACCCTGAAGGTGCTGGGAAGCATGCTGTGAAGATGTGAGTTCTATGTTACAAACAAAGCATCGCCCCCTTCCACCTGTAAACACATATGCTGGCTCCACCTCCCCATCTCCAGGCTGGGCTGATGCTCCAGAATGTGCATCAACTGCATCAACCAAGTTCAATCTCTGTACAGCCTTTTCATGTGGTTTCCCTGCCAAGTGTTGACTGGCATGTGCCTGAGAGGTAAGTTCTATCTTGCATACATTACAGAAGCCTCTCATTCCATTGAACTCATATATCCTCTGTTCTGCTGACTCTTTTGATTCCTCCTTGATGTTTGACACTTGCCATCGTCCTAAAGCTTTAGTGTGGTTCTTGCCACTGAGATGCTGCCGTGCATGCTGGGAGGATGTTAGCTCAATGCTGCAGACATTACACCATCCTCTGTTCCCATCAAACCGATATGGCTGACTAGGACAGGTGGACAGTTTGGCACCAGCTGTTCTCTCACTGACATCTGGGCCATTGTTGACAAAAACATTACCAGTATCTGCTGAATGTAATCCTTTTGCTTTTGCATGCTTCTTACCACTGAGGTGTTGGTTCGCATGTTCACGAGATGTTAATTCAATTTGGCAGATGTTACATCGTCCAGTGCTTCCATGAAAAGTATATTCCTGTTCTTCTGTTCTGTCTTCTTGAATTAAAGGAGTTCTTTGCATTTGTGCATTCTGTGAGACACTTGAGGAATACTGACTGTCATTAGTGTTGAGGACATGCTGGCTGGGAATGTTAAGGTTGTGTAGATGTGTATAGCTACCGAGAATTGGAACATCTGACAAAGTTCCTCCATGAACGGATAAGCACAGATTATGTTCAGTTTGATAACCTGCAGTCTGCGGCAAATTGCTTGTTGGTCCAGCTGAATCTGTGAGTTTGTTTGCATTTGGAAGCATAATTTGTGCTAAACTTTGAGCTTTTTGAAACTGACTCCCTTTCGGTTCTGACAGGATATTCATTGGCAGGGAAGTCTGAGTGGTAACACCTGGAGTTGCAGGGGGGCTATTTACCAAGGTCATTTTCTGGGAAAGCTGTGGTTTCTCCTGCTCTTGAAGAGTGAAATTCGTTGTGGGCAGCTGTGACCTCTTCTTGTGTCGATCACTCTCAAAGTGCTGATGGGCACTCTCAGGGCCAGAGAATACAACATTACACAAGTCACATTTCAGCACCTCAGTGGAAGGTTGTCCTGATTTCCATAGGTTCTCTGCTTTCTTATGTCGCGATCCATCAAGATGTTGCTGGGCATTTTGTGGAGATGTAAAATCCACATTACAGACATTGCAGTAACCCTGCTTTCCATCAAAAGTATAAGGGACTTTGTCTCCATTAAGCTGGTCATTACCATCACCAGTAGTATTGTTCTTTGTATCAGATACAGAAATGTTTCCAACTGGAGTAGAACTAGGTGTCAATAATGGTGGCATGTTTTGACGTGGTCTAGTTTCAGGCATGGAACTACTGTTCCTGTAGACTGGAACATCAGCAAACAGTCCAGTAACTTGGTCTGAAGAGGGCACGTCTAATCTTGTAGTGCCACTATTAGGCTGTGACATGTTTGTCAAGCCATACTGGGGAGAACTATTGTTGGAGACATTTCCCTGTCCCTCTAATTCTCTCTTCTTCTTTAAGTGCTTGGCACTTGCAAGATGTTCCTGAGCATTGCCAATACTAGAAAATGGTACATTGCAAATCTGACACTTCAATACATCGCTGGTATCCTCTCCCGCTTCCATCTGTTTCAGTTTCTTCTGATGTTTGGATCCACTGAGATGTTGCCGAGCATGTTGTAGAGATGTCAAGTCAATGTCACAGAGATGGCAGTAGCCTTTAGAACCATTAAAGTCATATTCCTTTCTCCCTGTTTCATTGGACAGGTTGAAAGGCAATGTCTGGTTGAGCCCTTGTGGGAGATCGTTACCTGCTTGTTGTATGTTCCCAGGAAGGAGAGGGCTTTGAACTGCTGTTGCAGCTTGGTATGTGAAACCTAAACTTCTCCTTACAGTCTCAACGTGTCTTGGGCTGACAATGTGTTGTTGAAACTGTTCAGCTGCATTACACTGGACACTGCATGGGTCACACCAGTATGTCCTTGTGTTTCCATTAAACACAGAATTTTTAATCTGGTCTTCCTTTCTCAAGTGAGCTTCACTGATAAAATGTTGTTGAGCTGGTAAAGCACCAGTAAATTGCTTCTTACAGATGTCACAGTAAAGTGGAACACGCTGTTGGCTGTTCATATCTCCTAGGTACAGACAGCTGAATTATTATTCCAGTTGAGTACTGTCTCAAGTGTAAATCCTGATAGATAGTATTATCCCTTGGGTATACAGTCCTTTGGTAGAATGAATATATCCCACACAAAATATATTCGCTTTGTGAAGCACACGGCAATTTCCAGGAAATTACATTTCTAATTTTAGCATCACTGGGAATACCAACTTTCTTTCTCTCGTCGTACGTGTCAAGCAATATTATATGCTTGGTGTTTGTTCAGGTGATAATAGTCACTACGCGACTTGTGTGCAAGTTATGTTATTTCTGACAACACGAAAAACACAATCGGAAACTTGAAAAGGGGATTCCCCTCGGAAGACAGCGTCGCGATAAAATCAACTGATCACGTGACCGTGTCAGGCCCACCCATACGAACTCTCCATGGGTTAAAGTCTTATAAATCTTTGATGTTACTTCGTCATGACATAAGGACCAACATGCACGGCATAAGCATTATTTATATCATTATACTGTATAATTTATTGCATAAAACGTATGACTATTTTAGCTGTTGCGGAGTGCCTCGATACTGTCTGCAAAGGCCCGCGAAGGACGAATCTGACTTAGTGTATTTAGCTGTGTACACTTCGAACGATGAAACACAGTCGATTAAAATTATTAGGTGCATTTGTCATGACTGTAGGTTATCTACAAGATACTTCTTTAGTATCACACTATGTTTGATTCCAAAAACGTTTAAAAATACTTACACAAATGGTTACCTCCCTTGAAAAATACTGACATTAGAGCTATATTTTCGAATAATCGGACTGTTTCTAACACGAGAACAGTTTGTAAAGTTATGGATGAAAAGATCCGAGTTTTCATTATAATAACTTTTTACGAGTGTCACTAGATTGTTTGTTTCATAAAAAGGTCAAACAATTTACAGTTTTCGATAACTTTGTATGAATGCGAAAAGATTTCAAAATAGCTTTACCTCTGTTATTTTAGCAACCAAAAACATGGCCGACAGTGAGAAGGTGAGAGTTGTGCATAACGTGTTAAATACCGATATTTAGCTGGAAACAATTACATTTTGACATTTCACTTATGGGCGATTTATTGCAAGTTTTTTGTATCATACCCAAATATGTCAGCAATAAGTGAGTCTATTATTATCATCCATAAATAATAAATACTAAAATAGATAGAAACGAATGAAATAGTTATGAAACAAAATCACACCTAAGTGGGTTTTGTAAAGAGTCAAATGTGCCAGCATATTTTACCTGGCTTATACAAATGTGTGCGTTTCTTCTGTCCTACTGTAGTTATCAAATATGTCAGCAATAAGTGAGTCTATTATTATCATCCATAAATAATAAATACTAAAATAGATAGAAACGAATGAAATAGTTATGAAACAAAGTCACACCTAAGTGGGTTTTGTAAAGAGTCAAATGTGCCAGCATATTTTACCTGGCTTATACAAATGTGTGCGTTTCATCTGTCCTACTGTAGTTATCCTACTAGTCTAGATAATTGAAACAATGTGATCTCATTATCCCTGCATTCAATAAATGTTTGTTTATTGATTGTTGCAAAATATATGTTGCCAACTAGATAATATACATTTTTCAAAATTTTTGCAGGTTTTGAAACAGCTCTTAAGCAATAGAAGAATAAGGAAAGATAAAGATGTAGAAGAGCTTTACCTTTCTGACAAGTGAGATTATGTTTGTTTGTTTGTTTGTTTTACAAAATGGTACATGCACAAAGCATGTATTTTCTCGCGGACCCCAGTTTTTTTCATTGTTTGGTATAAAGACATAAAGAGGCTCGAAAACTCTAAGACACAATACACATCTTTGCTTGACAAGTATACTGCTGACACCATGGTCTAGCTGCACCCTTTAGGAGTTTTATGCAGGACTGATATTGATAAATAACAACAGCAAAATATATCATTAAAAATGTGATGTAATTGATTTTGTTTTTTATTAATGTATATGAAAGTAATGTTGATCTGAAATATTATATATTTTGTTGTTGTAAATCTCTGTTAAGTCATCCTTAAGCCAGTGCAATTGGCTAAAGAAACTGATGTACATGTATATAACAAAATAGATAGGGATTATTTCTCATATTTAGTCCAGATATGTACTGTTTATGCAGTAACCATGTTAACTGGAAATGTGTTTCATAAAGATACTGTCCATGGAAATGTGTTTCATAAATATGGTGTACATGGAAATGTTTCATAAAGGAGATTCTGAGATAAAACTTTTTATGATGTTTGTTTCAGAAGTCTAACAGAAGTATGTGATCTGCAGCGTTTTCATTATTTAAGATGTTTATGGCTCAATGGTAATAAGGTAAGCCCTTGACCACCATGACAGATATGTTCTGTAAAGACTGCGAGTTTTGGATTGCCTAGTGGTTAAAGTGTTCACTTGTCACACAAAAAATGCAGATTTAATTCTTCTCTTGGGTACTATGTGTGAAGCCTATTTCTGGTGTGCCCCTCTATGATACTACAGCAATAGGAACAGGGTGGTGTGATGTGGTAGCCCAGTGATGAAAAGTGGTGTAAATACATACACCATCTCTCCCTCATTCTGGGTTAGAAGTCCCCAGCATAACTATGCGTGTTATCAACCGGGATGAGAATTTTCCACAGGTATGTGGAATTCCACAGATTTGATCGTGCTGGGGTCATTCTTGTATATCGTCCCCCAAGATCCCCGGAGCATTGTCCTCGTTTTTCACTCATACCCATTCTCATCCCTGTTGTAAAAGTACTCAGACTTGATGACATGGTTCATTTCCTGTCTTTATTCCCCGAAAGTGTCAGACCTAGATTTGAATGTTGTCATACAGTGTGTCAAAGCTTAAATCATGTAAATGGCAATGGATTTGCTGGCATATCTAGTCTACAAGTATTCAGGTTTCATAGTAAAAAAAAAAATCCCCATTTTTAGTATTTATTTTTAGAAATGGGCCTCTCAAATTGTACCTATGTGGAGAATTAAATCCGGGTCTTCGACATGACGATCGAACGCTTTAACCACTAGGCTACCCCACCGCTCAATGCCTGTATGAAACAGTACAATCAAGTATCAGAGACTTGAAGTAAAGTCATCATTTTCAAGTCTTGATGGAAATTTAAAGGTAAAGTGATTATAGTCTAATGACAAGCTGCTTACTTCTTACGTAAATGTAAATGGCACATTGTGTGGAATTGTTTCTAAAATTGTAAGGTTTCATATCTTGTAGAAAACACATTTAACGGTAATTTAGATACTTGTCCACAGAAATGCTGAGAGTGATTTCCTTATTTAACTCCAGTCTACATGAAGTGTATATTTGTATGCATGGTACATAAGATTTTGATAGATGAATTAAATAATGTTTCAATGTTTTTATTTATATGTACATATATTACGTCACCAATCATTTTCTGAAGATTCCTTTGACAGCTACGGCAACTCAATTGTCTGAGTGAGAACTACCAGCTGTCCGAGCTATACCTTCACAACAATGAGCTGGTTGATATCACCGGGGCTCTCCGCCACTTGACATGTCTGCAGGTCCTCATGCTGCATAACAACCAGCTCACAAAGCTTGATCGGATCCTCACTGAGATTAACAAGATGCAGAGCTTGAAGACACTTAGTGAGTGCTAAAGTTATAAGGGCAGTTATCATCTGTGTCACAGTACAGTAACATTCCAATACTGTACTCCCAGCAGTTTAAACAATAGTGCTGCATGAGTCTCATTTATAGTCCATTTGACTTCATTTTAGACCGATGAATTGCTCACTAGCACAAACTCTAATAACTGCAATAAAACCAACTTTTGCACAGTCACATGAAATCGACAGGCCAACTCTGATGATTTGTCTCATAATTTTGGACACCAGAATATAAAGGTTGGTTAACAAACAATCATTATTTTGTTGTCACTTTTCACTATTTCTTACGAAGGGGCACCACTTGCTGGTAGAACAGCCAGGTGTACGAGTTGTACATGTGAAATTGAAATTTTACTGTACATGCTTGTTGATTACCTGGCTGCTTTACCAGCAAGTGCTCCCACCTCGTAAGAAATAGTGAAAAGTGACAACAAAATAATGATTGTTTGTTAAACAACTTTGTTATTCGGTTGTCCAAAATTATGAGACAAATCATCAGAGTTGGCCTGTCGATTTCATGTGACTGTGCAAAAGTTGGTTTTATTGCAGTTATTAGAGTTTGTGTTAGTGAGCAATTCATCGGTCTAAAATGAAGTCAAACGGACTATATCTCTTGATGTGGCTTTGTGGGCCTCGAGGGGAAGCACAGTTTTCATTAATTTTTCACCATTATTATGCTATTATTTTTGTTATTATTATGCTCATATTTGTATAGCGCCAATATCCATATCAGCTGCACAAAGGTTCTTTGATTTTACCTCGATCACAAATGGCACATTGTATTATAAAGCTCAACTCCCTGGGGATCATACAACTGTTACGGCCACTAGGCACACCAAGCTAATGTGGCTTTCCCATTCTTGGAGGTACTATAGGACACTCTAAGAACCATCAAGGACTTGTAACATTACTTCATTAGAATTAAAAGGAACTGTTGTAATGAGTGAGTGACTTTTGTTTTATGCCGCACTCAGCAATATTCCAGCTATATGGCGGCAGTCTGGAAATAATCGAGTCTGGACCAGACAATCCAGTGATCAACTGCATCAGCATCGATCTACACAATTGGGATATGATGATATGTGTCAACCAAGTCAGCGAACCTGACCACCCGATCCTGTTAGTCGCTTCCTACAACAAGCATCGCTTACTGAAGACCAATTCTAACCCCGGATCGGAACTGTTGTAAGAATAGCAGGTCCTGGCTTCACCTCACCATTTGTGGTCTATATAGTGCATTATCTTTACTCAGTAAACACTCAATGTTTGTATTGTTGATATGTTACAATGTTCTTTCACCTTCTGGTCATGTGTTACTCAGATTTATTCAACAATCCAGTGGCTCAAGAGAGTGGATACCGGCTGTTTGTGGTTTACTCTGTTCCATCTGTGGAGCTCTTGGATAGAAAAGGTAATAAGTGTCTCTTTGTCCCTGCTGTAAACAAGTATCATGAATCTTGTTAATATGCTGCATTTGTCAGCATTAAAATTCAGTTCTGGTTGTTCTAGCACTCATTGTGAGTCAACAGGGTTTAAAATGGTCAATGCATTTTTAAAAAAATCTATATCTCCTTTCTGATTTTTGTAGGTCTGGTAATTTTGATTATCCTGACATAAATTTATGAATTCAAGCTGTTCTTTATGTTCTGTGATGAATGTGCCAGATGAATGTAGCAGAGTTTGAGTTTCGTTGGTATGAACCAAGCTAAGTTATTATGTTAGAAACTAATTTTCACAGAGGTCTTAAAGTTGGAACGTGATAAGGCTAGGAAGATATATAATCAAGAACAAGAGAAGATCCGCGCGACACCATTGCCTTTGGTCGTAGATCAGATGGTCCTCCATTGCCGATCTATAATCCTCTTGACATCCACATCCCAGTCAGAGCAGGTGAGTCTTAGCACTATCACAAGATTTTTACAGGCACCTGGCACAAAAGAGCTGGTCTCCTGAATACTCAGAACTTTTTCATCTACTAACAGGCTTTTCATTTTAACATAAGATTTTGATGGACAGTATGTATCATTTTTATCATGTTCATACATTATGAGATTGGTAACATGATCACTGGGCTGTCACATCGACCAGTTACAACAGTTTTATGTTGGAAGATAGTGTGTGGAATCAAGGTTAAACTAGAGTCATCTGTCAAAAAACGTATCCCCCAGTCGGATACAAATTGCAAGTGGAGTTTGGCGACTTATAGCCCAGTTTTGGTTCATTGCCATTGGATACAAATAGTCTAGTGAAGAAAAATATAATGCTGTTTGGATCTTTCAATATCCCATATCATCAAAAGGCACCACTTCGCCACTAGACTGATATGTACTGCAGCTTCCATCAAGAAATATTTTGGTAAGGTTTGAGAGTCCTGCTCTGGAAAACATACAACGACAGATAGAGAGTATTATTCAGCATCTGATCACACACCCACACCCATTTTCAACTAAGATGTAATTAAATGAATAAGAAACACCATAATCACTGGATGCGTTGATGTGCCTAGAAAATAGTAGTACTTGTTAAATAATCTAGCTATCAGAATGGACACAGGTACTGTCTTAGAGATCATATGCTTGACCCACACATTGACCAGCGCATTGAGAGACTGCTGGCAATCACAAGATAGCTGAGTGTGACAATAAAAAAATAAGCCCATGTACGTTCTGTTTTTGAAGGAATGAAACACTGACATCATGATGACTTTGTTTCTACCTTGCAGATCCTGGAGATATTGGTAACAGCTACTTGAGAGATTGGTAAGTCTTGTTGATAGGTCCCCGTAAGTAGGTCAAGGCACTTCGCTAGACCTTATTACTCCTGTGACAAACAACGTACACTTGGTCCGGTCTAGTAAAGTCATATTTGGTGGTCGTGCAATTTGGAGTGAGTGAGTGAGTTCAGTTTTACGCCGCACTCAGCAATATTCCAGCTATATGACGGCGGTCTGTAAATAATCGAATCTGGGCCAGACAATCCAGTGATCAACAGCATGAGCATCGATTTGCTCAATTGGGAACCAATGACATGTGTCGACCAAGTCAGCAAGCCTGAACACCCGATCCCGTTAGTCGCCTCTTACGACAAGCATGCATTACTGAAGATCAATATTCTAACCCGGACCTTCTCGGGTACGCGCAATTTAGAACCAGAACTGGTTCTTGAATATACGCTTTTCACCAGAAATATGGTACCAGAAGTATGCTGGGTTCCGTCTTGCATATCACAAGCTGGCGCACACAAAGGGAGTAGCACCTCACGAGACTTACAGGCCCTTTAGGACATGTAAATAAGATTCTCACAAACCTACATTCTAACTGATATCTGACACATGGGACTTAAGTTTGCAGAGTTTAATTACCTAAGTTAGCGTTTTTCCTTTAGAAAGAAATAATAAGAATATATACAGATTTCTTGCTGAATTAACAAAAATATGTTTTATCTTATATTGGCAGCGTTCCTAATGAAGACCCAGAAGAGGCAGTAAATGCACGCCGCCTAAACAAGTCCATTGCAGTTTACACAAGCTTTGACTGGTCAAAGGTTCCCCGCATTAAAGCTCGAAGGACAGCTGAAGAGATGTTTGACTCTCCAGAGATCATCACACATGTGTATCGATGAAATAAGGTCATGATGTGAGATACAGAATAGCAATACTGCTACATTGCTGCAGTGTATACCTTCACTCACTTGCAATACTACCAGCAGTTTTCTGTCACACAGTTTTGGTGTCTCTTCCAAAAGTCCAACTGAATGTAACATTCAACAGTTGCAATTTCAATTTACAATGATTGAATCGAGACAACTCAGCTATAATATTCAAGATCTTGGTACTCTTCAATTTAGTTAATATAACTGTCAGATCTTACTATGATTTGTGCATTTTTACTGACAGCCAGTTGGGGGATTTCTCTTTACAAAATCAAAAGAGTCTTAAAAATCAACAAAAATATTTTTCAGAATCACTGAAAACAATGTCCAGTATTATCTTCCGTGGTTGTGCATTTAATGCAGTGATTAATTGGGTTATTTCCTTTTATGATTCAGTGTTGATCATGGTTATCGTCTCCTGTTAGTTATCATGACTAGGTGATTTCAGTATGTTTTGAAGTGTTACTATTTTGAGTTTGTTACAAGTGAACTTTAACGTTCATCTCCATTAAACATTACATAACATGGGCTACTTCACCAAATTAAATGCTAGCCAGTATTACAGTTTTCCAGTATCTGTTTCACAGTATTATTAAAAGAAAGCCAGTATTGGATTACTCTAGCCATTGCATGTGATATATTTTTCATAAATGTATGTTTGATATTTGCATGATTATTCTTATTTAGACTGAAGTCTACATAATCAGTATTAACATTGATGTGATTTGATGCTGTAACAAATCAGTTCCTACTAACAGTATTTAACAGTATTGTTTTCAGTAGTCATTGATAATTCTGACCATTTATATGCTCTATATTCTTTCAAGAGCATTTCTTATAACATATGAATTTTATATATACTGAATTTGCAATACAATTAACATATAAATATCTATATATTTAGAATCACCGCTTCTAAAAATGCATTTTGTTCCTACCATTTCTACATGGATCTTGTTTATATATTTTACACATAGCATTTCTGTAATAAAATATGGCTTGCAACATGCCTTCTGAATCTTTTTGCAGTGATGTTTCAACACATTTCAGGACAAAAGAAAGAAGAGATACTGACTGTGATCACTCGAGTTTCTGCCCCCCACAAAACCACAGCTTGTGACTTTCTTTCAAATAATGTTGAGGAAACACAACATGTGTATGATACACCATTTATGTACATATTCCAGTCATACAATCATACAAACACAAATAATCCCATATAAACATCCACCCCTTGTGGTAGAACCTAGCATGATTAATACAAGACATTGTACACACACAAACATGTTCATGAGCCAAGATAGACTGGTAAGTAATGAAAATGACTAATCCACCAACCACATCACAAGCTGTACCTGGACGTACTGCTGTAAAGTATGTTACCGACACATTAATACACATCAACACTAACATAGGATTGTTTCCTGTTCTCAGCTTTCACTGTGACTCAATACATGTCCTCTGAGAGTAATTTACCCCCAGAATACTTCCTTGTCGAACAACTTGGCACCGACTCAATCAAGTCCTGATGCAGCCCATTCATGCCTCATGTAAAATTCATTCATGGCAGTCAAACGAATCAGTGATGATGAAATCAGAAATCAGCAGAATCATTCTTCATACTTCCTGCAAAATTGAATAACAGGAGTCAAATTGTGTCCATGTTCACACTTCAAGGGCTTTCAGTATTGCATCCCTCTCCTTCAAAGCTTTCTGTGCTCCATCTTTTTTCCTTCTTTGTTGGTGTTTTCTTCTTCTGTTTAGCTGCCTGAATCTTTCGATAGGCTTCCATCACCTAGATAAACAGAATCGAAGATCAGATCAGTTCTACTAGCATGGTTTTAGGTACACACAAACACAGGCAGTGGGACAGTGAATGTAGTTATATGCTCAAGTATGCAATATTCCACCTACATAAAAGCGGCCTTTAAAAAATAGGTTTGGACAGAGTCTGAAGATACATTCGTGTCATACATGGCCTGAGCCATCTGATACCCAGGCATGTAAAAAATAAACATGGCCAGGTATAATATACCATAATATACTAATCTTAAATTGTTATTTCTTTGACTGAATGAAATTTGATGATTGTCCATGCATGCTTTTCTTTCATTCATACTTAACCCTGACAATACAGATATCGTATATAAAGATTTAAAGTGCTACATCCTAAGAGACTCAAATTCCATAATATTCTCAGGTTTTGCACATAGGAAACTTTTATTTTGAAATAACAGCTGAGAGATAGTCACTCTTCATCTGTAGTGGCCAGCTTGACTCTTTTAAGATGTCTCTGCACTCGACATGTAGTACTTGGGACCTAAGGTGGAGAAAGACCCCATGTACTGACCTCTGCATCAGCTGCTGCCAACTTCTTCCTCATCTCCTGTCTCGCCATCTCCTCCTTGGCAAGCTTGTACAGTGTTTTAGTGATTGTTACATTTCGCTGGCTCAGTGCCTTCAGTTCTTGCTGCTTGCGTCGCAGCTCTGCAAGTATCTCATCGTCTGGGTTGTCTTCCACCTTATCATCTATCTCTATCAAACCTAGAATGAAACATCACTACTGGTCACCATACCGTTATCTGATTCATTGTCATCATACTGACAGGTGTGGTATGATACTCTAGCTGTCTAACACAAAGATGAGTGAGTGAATATTATTTCACCAAATGATCAACAATGTTCCTGTTCCAGCAGTTGACTGACCTTGTTCTTCAAGCTCTCGTTTAATCCTTCTCTCTAAGTGGGCTGGGTTAACAATGTTCAGCTGTTTGGCCAGCATGCGTGGGGAGATGGCAGGTGCTTCCTCAGCAGATTCTAAAGAGACAAGTCGCAAACAATCCATGTTTAATTTCTGACACAACAGTTGATTCACATAAAAGAGTAACCAAATTCAACTGACAAAAACATAGAAAAAGGGCGGTACTGACCTTTGCCCCCAGCAATGTCCGCTAGGGAGTCATCTATAGGGGTCATGATGTTCTCCTCGATCAGCGCAGCCACCAGGCGCTGGGTCAGGTGTCCGAATGGGGACTCATCAAGGTTACTGGTCAACAATTACAAGCACACATTACAACTTATCAAATCAGTTTTGAATGCAATGGCAATCATTCATTTCTCAAACATAAAGCTGATGGTTCCCCAAAGATTTATTTGCTCACAAGTGTCTTACTTTGCTTCAGCCTTCTTGAGCAATGTAGCTGTTTCAGTGGGACTCATGACAGAGTTGTTGTGATTGGAGTTGGAATTTCGCTTCTTGTCATTGATCTTGGCACCTGGAACATACAAACATGTAGATGATGATAGTGTGAATATCCAATGACTGTCAAAAGTATAGATATCAACACACTTTAGCATTATATTGTCAGTTATTTTACATCTGTAATTATTGTAAAATTTCTATGTTAAACAAATAAATACCCATTAACACAGAGTACCCTATATGTATCACCTCCCACCCCCCTCTCCCACTCTGCTCACCATCTCTCTGCTCCTCCTTGAAGGCCTCCTCCGCCCACCTCTCAGTGTAGTGTTTCCCCAGGGCGGGGATCTTGTATCCCCTCCCACCCCATCCCCAGGCCCCCACTCTGCTCACCATCTCTCTGCTCCTCTTTGAGGTCCTCCTCCGCCCACTTCTCAGTGTAGTGTTTCCCCAGGGTGGTGATCTTGTATCCCCTCCCACCCCATCCCCAGCCCCCACTGCTCACCATCTCTCTGCTCCTCCTTGAAGGCCTCCTCAGCCCACCTCTCAGTGTAGTGTTTCCCCAGGGTGGTGATCTTGTATCCCCTCCCACCCCATCCCCAGCCCCCCCACTGCTCACCATCTCTCTGCTCCTCTTTGAGGTCCTCCTCCGCCCACTTCTCAGTGTAGTGTTTCCCCAGGGTGGTGATCTTGTATCCCTGCCCAGGCCCCCACTCTGCTCACCATCTCTCTGCTCCTCTTTGAGGTCCTCCTCCGCCCACTTCTCAGTGTAGTGTTTCCCCAGGGTGGTGATCTTGTATCCCTCCCACCCCATCCCCAGCCCCCACTGCTCACCATCTCTCTGCTCCTCCTTGAAGGCCTCCTCCGCCCACTACTCAGTGTAGTTTTTCCCCAGAGTGGGGATCTTGTATCCCCTCCCCAGGCCCCCACTCTGCTCACCATCTCTACCCATGAAGGTCTGGGTTAGAATATTGATCTTCAGTAACCCATGCTTATCGTAAGAGGCGACTAACAGGATCGGGTGGTCAGGCTCGCTGACTTGGTTGACACATGTCATCGGTTCCAATTGCGCAGATCGATGCTCATGCTGGAATATTGCTGAGTGCGACGTAAAACTAAACTCACTCACTCATTCGGCATCTCTCTGATCCTCCTTGAGGTCCTCCTCCGCCCACTTCTCAGTGTAGTGTTTCCCCAGGGTGGGGATCTTGTATCCCCTAGCACCCAATCCCCAGGCCCCCACTCAGCTCACCATCTCTCTGCTCCTCCTTGAGGTCCTCCTCTGCCCACTTCTCAGTGTAGTGTTTCCCCAGGGCAGGGATCTTGTAGTACTCAGACTCGTCCTCATGTGACTTTAGTATTTCCTCCAGTAATTTCAAATCCTCATTTGAGATCTCCCCACAATAAGGCTCAACTGACACCCAGAAGCGGTTCACAGCATCGTTCTTTGGCAATTTGGGCAAATCCACTGGAGAGTCCACAAAATCAAATTCCTGATTCTTGGACTGAAACAGCATCAAAGGTACATTGAATCACACTGACATTATATTCTTGCAATAATACAATGACAGCACATTTAATAGGAGTTCATGCTTAACCACATCTAAAAACACACAATCTTTTCATCAACAGATTTCTTGAATTTTGAAATTTGTTGTTTTGAGAAGTATAACTGCTATTGTCTGAAACAAACCTACGCAATATTTCAAATAAACCAATGCCATAACCATAATGATCTCCATTAAAGATTTAAATAATGCTTATACTTTGATATAAGTGCAGTACACCACAATACACTGGTGTCTTTTAGCATAACTCTTTACACTGCTAGTCAGTACAACCATGTATCGAGGCATACAATATCACATGTATAACAAAATGAGAGTTAAAAAAGCACAAACTTTATCACTCGAATTAAATGACAGCACTGAGTGGTGATATCGCATGCAAAATACATACAAAAAAATTATTACTATCAGTATGCCTAACTACAATCATAATGAAACACTTCTAACCAGTTTGCTGCCTCCCACCTGTGTGACTTTACTCTTAGGTCTGCTCGGTGGGGGTGGGGTAACACTAGAACTCTTCCCATTACTGTCTTTGAACTTCTTGCTGGGCTTGTCCTCGCCTCCTCCCTTCCCTCTCTTGCCCGGATGTGGGGGTCTCTGGTTGCTGGAGGGAGAGGATATACATCTACTTTGGAACCAGTCACCATTGTCAGTCATTGTTATCATTTTAAAGCATGTGCTATTATATATACAAATATGATTGCAACACTTGTAGAAAGACATCTTTATGTGCTTTTACTTGAAGAAAGGGATCTTTATATGTTATGGTTGGGAGTAATCAATTGAGATGAAATTCCCTTATAGCACACAACACCGGTTTTGAAACATCTACACTGCATTGAATGTAACTTGAATATGAACCCACATATGTTGCGATTTATTACACAAAGGCTACAGCCAAAGAGATCATACTGAACCAGTTCATGACTAGAGCGATAATCTAAGCCTCATTTGGGGATACAGCAAAGTTTGGTACGAGCTGTACTGAGAGAATAATGTGCCCACAAAACAAATCGCATCTTCCAAAGGTAACAAACATTTTGAAAATTGTAACAAGTGCCACATATTTGTCATTCTTATAAGCACCAGTCTCTTGAGAACAATATCAAAGTTGCTTGGTCCCAACACATTTACAATCTATAAACATTTGATTCAGGTTACAGCGATTTACTGTACAGGTCTGTGAATTTTATGGAGAAACATCATCTGAATTACAAAAACGGTACGACAGTGTTGGTGTTATAATGACATAAATCCCAAGATTTTGCCTGTGACAGAAACTTTCACCATTACCTGTTTGCCTGGCGTTGGCTTCTTGTCTTTCTTATCCTGCCAATTGACCAGGATCTGAATCTCACTCTCCAACAACTTCAGCCTCTTGCCTGCAGCTGCCAGCAGCGTTTCCAGGTCAGTCTGGATACTGCTTATCTCATCAATATTCACCCCATCCTCCTCACTCCTTTCTAGAACTGTAAAGGGATATAAACAGTGCTTTGTGAGGTGTTCCCATACCTCCTAAAAATTGAGGGGGATTAATAGAATATTTGATGAGTATGTGCTAATACTATTGCAGGTGAGAGTTCAGTTTGGAATGTTTTCTCATGAATGTGACACTGACACACATACTCTCATCTTCCAGAAGTTGTAAAGTCCTTTGAATGACTACAGTCAATGCTTTAATGGTCCTGGTTGATTGACCACCCCTTAACACTGTTTTAATCATGCAGTTTCTCACAATCAATACTGTACCATTAGTAAGCTTTGGACAGTCTTTAGTATGGTCAACAGGCTGAAGGTCTGGGAATTGAAGAGGACAGCAATCTCCCTTTGATTCCTGCATGCCTTTTCCTTTACCTTTCATTATATGCTATTGAAACACTGAAATGTGAACACATTATCAATCAGAGCATAGCCCCTCTTTTAATAGAACACCAATTACACTACCAGTATGCAAATTATTACAAATGCTACAGAATGCATTGTTATGGTAAGATCCCCCAGTACTACAGTTGATTGTGCACAACAAACAAACCGTTCCTTTGTTTTATAATTTATTTACATGAATCATTTACTAATAGCACTGCATATATGTATGCTCATATCATCCTTATATTATGGACTTGTTGTTTTCTCTCAGAACACATGAACAGCATTTCGTTAACTTATCCTTGATAAAATATGTATATCTTCAAAAACAAACCATCATCCAAGTATTTACAATATTTGTGTAACGCAATATACCTCAATACAGATCGGGCAACAACTGCTGTCCAAACACAAATAGTTTGATGATATATAGTTTATTGTCTTCACATGTATTTTCTCCTTATCATGGCTTATGTCGAGTTTAGTCACTGTCACTATAATATTGTGCTTGCAAGCCACAACATTAACAAACTTGTCGTGTTAATAACTAACTCTGTGAGTATCATATGCCTACTGTATAAGGGTTTAATGAAATCAAAGGTGTAATTCCGTGTTAAAAGCGATAGGCAGCTGTCCACTTCTTATCACTGTATTAGTGCTCATCATTTGGCTCAGCGACATCACTTACCGGAGTGTCACTGTTGACTTTACAGTTTCTCCATTGCGTATAGGATGTATGTACCATGCAAATATACTGATTTGTTTATGAATAGGAGTATATCTATAGCGTCGGTTTCTGCTTAAGGAGCAGCATCATTAGGTATAATAGCTGCAGACATTCTCATGTACAGTTGCATATCACGAACAAAGCTGCAGGTGGACTGGCGGCCATTTTGAGCACACAACAACCAATGACAGTAAAGCTTCTATAGTTATTCCACCAATCAGCGTTGTGGACGCAAAGAAAACACCAACAATGGGTTATTTTGTGAAGTTGGAGCAAAAAGTAGAAACTTTTGCATTTCAAACACGCCTGATCACCTTATTTTTTCAGGTAAGTAAATTTTTATCATCCGTATACGCTTGTCAAAAAGATTTGATCCATATTTGCTTGCGTTATGATGGAGAACAGGTGCTTGTTTTGACCGGCGACAGAGCCCAAATCCGAATCGGCCTTGCCATGCTTGCACAACGCAGGCCGTTATCATTTGAAAGAATGGTTAAACCACCACTTGTTGCACTTCCACACTTCTTAAATGTCAAAACAGTACTACAACAACTATAGTTACTATAACGCGGGTGTCTAATAACACGGGGGGTCATCCATGGACCCAAGACCCGCGTTATGGATGACTGTACTACGGTATATCAATTACAAACATGTATGTCATAGGCGCCCGGCTCTGATATATTTATAAGTATGACCTATATATATAAGATCTTATATCTTATATATATAGGTCATAATTATTATATATATATATAGGTCATACTTATAAATATATCAGAGCCGGGCGCCTATGATGTATGTGTCAATTAATCAGTAAGTGTATTAATCAAAGTGTATGATGATGATTTTATAATCCATGTTTGGGGTTCAATCACAAGAAAGATGACAAAAAAAATTTATGGACATACAACTTCTTTTATTCTGTAAAGAGCGACTGTGAAGTTAGTATCCATAAAAAATTGTCATCATTCTTCATCAACTCAACTTCTAATATGCCCATCAAAGAAGATACAATCACAAAATTGCAGCCTATACTTTGCAGGAATGTATTCTATCTTCCAGGTGATCTTCAATGCTGTTATTCCCGACCATGATGCTGACGTTTTCAACCCTCCAGCATCCCCAACCCACAACCAGACAGCAGTGGACAGCATCATGGACATCGGGGTGGGTGGATTGAGAAGATGGGATGCAGTGTACTTCATCCATGTTGCAGAACATGGTTACATCTATGAGAACGCTGTAGCTTTCTTCCCCCTGTACCCAGTCATTGTGGGGAAAATTGCCGATGTTTGTTACTGCTTCTCATTTGCAGGTCAAATCATGTCCAAATTAAACCTCTGCTTAATCATCGGAGTGGCACTGAATGTCTACCTCTTCACCAAGGCAGCCTCTACACTGTTCCACTTGGGAGTCCAGGTTCTCAAAGATGAGAAATTAGCATACAAGGCAGCCCTGTTGTTCTGCATCACCCCAGCCAGCATCTTCATGACAGCTCCCTACTCAGAATGTGTTTTTAGCTACCTCTTCTTCTCCGGGCTGCTGGCTTTTGCCAGTGGTGACACAATGAAGGCAGCATTTTGGTTTGGACTAAGTACATGTACAAGATCAAATGGCCTATTAGCAATTGGGTTCATCTTGTTCAGGAGAGTTAAGGGATTTATGTCCAGTATGCAACAAGTGACAAAAGCTAGATTTGAGACTGTGACTGAAAAGGGGATGATGATGGTGTCAATGACAAATCTATACCTGGCTCCAGTCATTGTTGCGATTGTGCTGTGTGCTGGCCCATTCTGTTTGTATCAATATTACATTTACAGAATATTCTGTTTGTCAAATGATGCAGATTTACCACAGCACCTAATTCGCTATGGTCGCTCCCAGAAGTACCATTTAGTTGGTGATGCTCCATCACCATGGTGTTCACAGTTACTTCCCTTGTCCTACAACTACATCCAGAAGCAGCACTGGGGTGTGGGTTTTCTCCAGTACTACGAGCTGAAGCAGGCCCCCAACTTCTTGCTGGCCACCCCCATGCTGGTGCTGAGTGTGTGTGCCTGCATATACTACTACAGACTCAACACATCCTGCTGCCACAGACTCGGCATGGTGCAGGAGGGGCAGACAGACAAGAAGACGGATCTACAGAAAGGAAACTTTGGCTTCAAGAACACCAGACTTTTCATCTATGTAGGGCACCTGCTATTCACCACTGTCTTTGGGATTTTCTTTGTGCACATTCAGGTAAGAATCTGTTAGTTAATGATTCTGGTATAGTATAGATAGACAGTTCTTTGCATCAAGAAATATTATCATCCTCATCGAAATACAGCATGAAACAGTGTCCATGGATTATTATCTATGTGAAACTATTGATATATGTTCGTTACCATGGTTACATCTACAAGTTGCTGTTAGCATGAAGCATAAACATATCACCACTTCAAGGAATGATATAGGATTTCAAAGTAGCAGCCAAAAACAGCAAATTGGGAAAATGTTTGTTTTTAACCCAACTGGGAATTTTTTATCAGCTTCATGTTCTGTTATTGGAATTTTCTGACATTACATAAATTGCAATAATACAGGGTGAGTAGTAACAGTTCTGACTGATGAGGACCTTTCACAACACCAGGAGAGAACCTTAAATCAGTGGGATGCATGCACTCCATCATTGCCGGCAGAAGTGTGTGGACCATGGAGGGGCTCATGTTGAAAAACAGTTAGAAACCATCTCTGTCATAGCAGCTAGGGCTCTAATGATGCATTGAACTATCGATGGATTGCAATTATTGAGTCTCTGATACCAATTAATCAATGGTAGAAACGAAAAACTATCGATGCATCGATAGTAGGTGTGATTTATTACTGTCACAACAATTCGTCATGTTCTCTCATGAACACTTCCGTTGATAAATGTGCAGCGCAAAAGTACCAGATTCGCTCACTTTGATTTAGAGTTATCTGCCCCTGCTTAATTGAGTTATGTTTTAAGTGTTTACTCGAATTTGGTTTCAAGTTTCTTGTCAGTTTTTTAAAGAGACTGAAACTACTTCAACTGTTTTTTTATTTCATGTAAACTATACATTCATTTGAGAAATGACTTCAAATGAGACGATTCAAGGAGAAGAAAAAAACCTATTGCAATAGTATTAGTTGGTATTATAGTTGGTCGCAATAGACTATCGCTATTGCAGTATTATGTTGCAATAGACTATCGCTATTGCAGTATTATGTTGCAATAGACTATCGCTATTGCAGTATTATGTTGCAATAGACTATATTGCAGTATTATGTTGCAATAAACTATTATATTGCAGTATTATGTTGCAATAGACTATCGCTATTGCAGTATTATGTTGCAATAGACTATCGCTATTGCAGTATTATGTTGCAATAGACTATCGCTATTGCAGTATTATGTTGCAATAGACTATCGCTATTGCAGTATTATGTCGCAATAGACTATCGCTATTGCAGTATTATGTTGCAATAGACTATCGCTATTGCAGTATTATGTTGCAATAGACTATCGCTATTGCAGTATTATGTTGCAATAGACTATCGCTATTGCAGTATTATGTTGCAATAGACTATCGCTATTGCAGTATTATGTTGCAATAGACTATCGCTATTGCAGTATTATGTTGCAATAGACTATCGCTATTGCAGTATTATGTTGCAATAGACTATCGCTATTGCAGTATTATGTTGCAATAGACTCACTATTGCAGTATTATGTTGCAATAGACTATCGCTATTGCAGTATTATGTTGCAATAAACTATCGCTATTGCAGTATTATGTTGCAATAGACTATCGCTATTGCAGTATTATGTTGCAATAGACTATCGCTATTGCAGTATTATGTTGCAATAGACTATCGCTATTGCAGTATTATGTTGCAATAGACTATCGCTATTGCAGTATTATGTTGCAATAGACTATCGCTATTGCAGTATTATGTTGCAATAGACTATCGCTATTGCAGTATTATGTTGCAATAGACTATAAGCTATTGCAGTATTATGTTGCAATAGACTATCGCTATTGCAGTATTATGTTGCAATAGACTATCGCTATTGCAGTATTATGTTGCAATAGACTATCGCTATTGCAGTATTATGTTGCAATAGAGACTATTCGTATTTATTATGTTGCAATAGACTATCGCTATTGCAGTATTATGTTGCAATAGACTATCGCTATTGCAGTATTATGTTGCAATAGACTATCGCTATTGCAGTATTATGTTGCAATAGACTATCGCTATTGCAGTATTATGTTGCAATAGACTATCGCTATTGCAGTATTATGTTGCAATAGACTATCGCTATTGCAGTATTATGTGCAATAGACTATCGCTATTGCAGTATTATGTTGCAATAGACTATCGCTATTGCAGTATTATGTTGCAATAGACTATCGCTATTGCAGTATTATGTTGCAATAGACTATCGCTATTGCAGTATTATGTTGCAATAGACTATCGCTATTGCAGTATTATGTTGCAATAGACTATATTGCAGTATTATTGCAGTATTATGTTGCAATAGCATTATTGCAGTATTATGTTGCAATAGACTATCGCTATTGCAGTATTATGTTGCAATAGACTATCGCTATTGCAGTATTATATGCGCAATAGACTATAAGCTATTGCAGTATTATGTATTGCAATAGACTAATAGACTATTGTGTAGTATTATATGGCAATAGACTATCGCTATTGCAGTATTATGTTGCAATAGACTATATCGCTATTGCGGTATTATGTTTTGCAATAGACTATCGCTATTGCGGTAGTATGTTGCAATAGACTCGCTATTGCAGTATTATGTTGCAATAGACTATCGCTGTTATTGCAGTATTATGTTGCAATAGACTATCGCTATTGCAGTATTATGTTGCAATAGACTATCGCTATTGCAGTATTATGTTGCAATAGACTATCGCTATTGCAGTATTATGTTGCAATAGACTATCGCTATTGCAGTATTATGTTGCAATAGACTATCGCTATTGCAGTATTATGTTGCAATAGACTATCGCTATTGCAGTATTATGTCGCAATAGACTATCGCTATTGCAGTATTATGTTGCAATAGACTATCGCTATTGCAGTATTATGTTGCAATAGACTATCGCTATTGCAGT